ATTATTGAGTCTATGGGTACATATGAGTATTTAAAGTTTTATTTTGTTTTTAACTGTCTGAAAGAATAGTTTGAGATTCTAATGACAAGAAAACTGTGAAATTTGAAGCAGCAAATGAAATTAAGTGAAAATGTACTTTCAAAGATTGGTAGATATTTTTGATATAAGGTATATGTTTACAAATATTGTACATTATATGTATTCATTTTATATCAATACACTCAAATATTTGAATAACTTTTTTTCAGTTTTTTGCTACAGGTGTTGTTGGAATGTTTGCAGCATCTAAGAAGTCAAATGGTTTGGTAAGAAAGTACTACACAACTGTCCAGTGTTAAAATGGATTGAACTATGTGTAGGGGAGTTGGAAAAGGAGATTTATATGTGAATTATTAAGTTAAGCATTAAAAGTTGTCATAGTCCCCCTGGCCTCAGGTTGGTGAAATGTAAATCTTACCGAGCAGGCCACTGATTTTTATTTTGTTTGAGGTTGATTTACTTAAATCTACACCTTGCCAGTTTAAGTTATAGACAAAAACTTGAGTAAAAATTACTGTAAGTATTTAAATATCAGTAGAAATGCATGAAAGAAAATTTTTTAGCTTTGAAATGTGTGGGGTTAGGAATTTTGACTGGTAACTCTAAAGAACAACTGATCAAAAACGTAAGTATATCTGATACTAATTATCTAGTGTAGTTACTTCTGTTGGGGATGAAGGAGGGGGTGCTTTCCTTTTTTTAGGGCTAAAAACTGTTGGCCAGCATGCCTACTTTTGGGAAAAAGAAGTTACAAGTCTTATCCCTTTCAAATCTCCATCAAAGTAAGCAAAATTTTATGTTGACAGAATTTCTTTTTTTTTTTTATTTTGAATTGAACTTATGTTTTTAATTTATTATTATATAAAATGTTTAGTACATAATCGTGACCCTCTCTTTCAGATAATTGCAGTTATGGTGTTGTGTATCCTATCAGCCTGTGCAGCTGGCATTTTAGTAATGTTGTCAGGGCCTGGTATAGCGTATGATGTCCGTCATGGAAATTACCCACATTGCTGCACAGGGAACTCATACCAGACAGTGTCTTCCATTGATCAAAGTGGGAAAATCTCTTACCGCCTTATTGCCCGTCCGGACTGCCATGAATGTGACCCTCACAAGCAGGTGAGTGTAGTTTTTTGTAACTTCCTAATTCTATCGTATCTTTTAATATGGGCCATCAAATTTTGAAATTTGGCTAACTCATTTATAAAGAGCTCTTGTTGTCACACATTTTGAAATTTGTTGTCTGTCCATTTGCCAATTCACGACTGAAACTCTGGAACAATGTACTTATGAATAAACAATTTAAGAGAGAGATAATCTGATACTTTTTGATGCAAAATGTGCCTGGACTTAGTATTGTGAATAGTGTTTAACCATTATTATATATGGTTCTCTCTGATGGAATTAAAAGTATTTTTTATAAGTTAAATTTTGCACCATGCATTTGGCACCCATTGAGATACCCCTGTTATAAAATTACTTATGTTAAGTAGCATTTTCTCATTATATATATATATGTCTGAATTTTTGTTTTCTGGTAGGCCAAGATTGGGGTGCAATCCTTTTTGATTGCTGTGGCAATATTGGAAGCCATAGCAGCAATTTGGGCCTCTGCTCTATGCTGCAAAACAGTGTGTATGTGCTGTAGTGAACCAGGGGTAAGTCCGCACTGTACTGAATTGTGTGTGTGCTGCCATGAAAAAAGAGTATGTGTAAGTCTGCTCTTGGGCCTCTTGGTCCTAAAACTGGCCCCAGGCAGCAAAATAATGCCATGAAATAGAAAATAAAACACCAAATTAAAGGAAAATGAACAAACAGATTTCTCAAATTTTAAAGTTTCTCAAAGTTAAAAAATTTTCACACGATCCAAAACAGGCGTGTGAGAGGCAGAGAGACCATTACAGGATTAAGCAGTCTTCTTTCATGTAGGTCTGCCATATTTAGGTCGGGTCCTAGCTAGCTAGCGATCTGAATGGGGCCTTTTCAAATTAAAATTTTCAAATTAATTTTTTTTATACAAACATATATGTTAATTTACATTTCAGGCATACTCCTATGGCATGCCCATGCAGGTTCAGTATGTCACTGGCCCAGTGGGTGGAAACCACCAAGTGTTGTTTGTACCAGCACCAGGAGCTCCCCCTGGTGTGTTTTCTGCATTGCCACATGGACAAGTGGGATATGTGATGCAGACAGGTGAGCAGTCCTATGGGACTCATGCAGAATTTCCAGCCTAGATAATATGATACAGAATCAATGTCTCCTACAACCAGAAATTGCCAAAAAAATAAAAATATTTAGTTATGGGTTCTAAGTTGTAAACACCTGCCTTGGAAGTTAATGGTTATTCTGTAGACTTTCCAATTAATATATGTAATGCATAATTATTCATCAGTTGCAAATCCAGTTTTGTGTCAGTATTTCTTTTGTGGTCATCTTTTACAAAGCTTTTCTATCTTTTTAGATTTTTGAATAATCATGATTGATATTACAATATTTAGTACAATGTATCTTAAATTCTAATAGAAAAACATCAAATAAAAAGATTTAAAAATGGGTACATTGTACAATTTTCCATATCAGCCCTGGTGGATCCAGAATTTTGCTTAGTGCATAGAGGGTGGTTAGGAGGGAGCACAAGGATAAAAAAATTCAGTCACTTTGCTTGGCAAATATAGAGCAGTTGATGTGTTATTATACTAAAATACACAGGGCACAAGGATGAATATTGCTTGGTTTTGTCTGGTTTTGTTCCTTACACTGCTTTTTTTTCATGGAGTAAGACGGGGCTACAGCAGAAGCATGTGCCTGCTTTGAGCTTCCCATGAACTGCCAATTTAACAGTGCATCTGAGTAAAATTGTGATAAGCATCCAAGTATTTTTTGCAAAATGGCTGAATAAGATGCCATATATGGTAAAATATTAATCATTTTGTAACAGTAACTATGTTCATTTTATTTGTAAGGTCCTGTTATAGCTGGTGTTCCTAATCAACCCCAAGTGTATGCTTACCCAGGAGTCCCACAGCTAACACCAGTCCAATTACAGCAATATCAGCCACAACAACTGCAACAACAAGTGGGTGCGGAGCCTTCTGACCCTACTGCTGCTGGACAGGTGCCACAGGAGAATTGCTCCAAACAACAGGAGAGTTTGGGTTAAATTTTCATTGCTTGATTGAAGCAATGTTAATTCATATATGGACAACATGCCAGTACTCCGTGTGCCAAATTAATAGACTGGAGTATGGTACTCCAAATTTCACAAGAAGAGTACCATATCTTAGAGATTCTGCTGTATGGTATCACTAGTGGGCTTGATTTGGTCTTAAAGTGCAATTTAAGAACACAAATAGTCTTACATGATCTTAAAACATGAGTAAGACCATTTCTAGTCTGACAGCCAATTAAGTTGTCTCCCCTTACACATTCTCCTATTGTGAGCAGAGGTGTCCTCTATTGTGAGGGGAGCTATCCCCCCATTGTGAGGGGGGGAAACCGCTTGACCACTTAAGTAGATGTTAGATCAATTTTGATCTTAAAAGCAGATTCAGTCCATTTTAAGACTACTGCTATAATGTTTAAGATCGTGTAAGATCACTTGTGAACTTAAATTGCACTTTAAGACCAAACCTGGCCCACTAGTGTATGCTTTGAAAGACTGACACCTTGATAGTCTCGGTATTGCATAAGAGGGCCACCTAAACTGAGCTCCTGCAATTGACATGGCCAATTAATTAACTTCTGTCTAAAGAGCAGGAAGTGAACTTATAAAAGTCCCTGAAGTGTAATCACATGGTAGCCAGTCTCAAAGCACACTGGTACAGGTAAAATATTGCTTGATGTGAAATGTCCTTTAGGCTGTTTGCTTGTTTAATAGCTTGTATGTAAGCCACCACTACATTTAAGTTAACTAGACCAAACTGCAATTTAGAGTATCAGTTTTTATTAATGTACTGTATTTTACTTCATTACATGTACTTAAAAATGAGGAAAACCATAAGTTGCTTAAAATAATCTTGTATGCAAATTTGCAAAGTACTAAACATTTTGCTAACATTTTTCACTTACATGTACATTTGATACAATTTCAGTTTTATTATCAATTTTACCCTTACTCTCTTATCGACACATTGCACATTTCCTCACATTAGTTAAGGGGGCATGTTTTGGTCCAGCAGTCAAAATGAGTCAATGATCAATCCAAAAAAAGGTCCTTGGGCTGAGAGTAAGCTACACAACCCACACCTATTCTTTTTTTCTCCCATTCTCAGGACTGGGACATGAATCCCCCCCCCACACACACCCAGGCAGTCCAGTAATGAGCTTTCTCTTATGCCCCAAAAACTGCCAAAAAATACATTTGTACATATTCATAATGGTAGCAAATTTCAAATAATAATAATGTACAGTTTTACTATTTTATAAATTACAGTATTTTTAACATATTAAACACTGGTGTGTGCTCTTCCTGAATACATATTTAGTCTCATTACACTTAAGATTGTCCAAAATATAGTGACATGTACATGTATATAGTTGAAACAGTGAGGATGACAGTTTTACAGCTACTAGTAAAATCAAAGGATGTTATTTTTAAAGTTTGTTTCTTTGTCTTTAAACAAATCACTTCATAACATGTTTGATATATGAAAATAAGAATCTTATAGTAAAAATAGTTCTTATCCTATATGAATCTCATCCATTGCTCCATAACATTGGACTACAATTGAAAAACTTTTTGATAATTTTTTGAACTTGTGATCAAGAACACATTTTTTCATTGGATGGGTATTTATTTTACATTTGTTTGAAATATATTTTGTTTGTAAGCTTCAAGAATACTGCCCTTGATATTTTTTCAATTTTTATTGCTTTCAAGCTTGTAACTTCATACAAAGTAGTTCAGGCATCAAGTTTTAAGAAGTTCTAATTCAGTAATTGTAAAATGTTAGGGTTATTTAGCAATTATGATGAAGTAGTATTTTAGTTTCATTTTTAAAACTCCATAAATGTTCTTATGAGACTCTATATTTTGTTTCATAAATTTTCTTATTAAGTTTTTTGTTTTTGTTCTTATTTTTTGGGTGAATAAAAATTATCACATTATTTTTAAAGTTATTTTAAGTTTTTTTTACAAATTAAGTGACTATGATAAAACATTGTTATAAAAGCAAACAGAAACTTAGAACAAATATTTTGAAATAAAACAATAATTATACTAAAGTCTACTTTAAATAAAACTTGCGGCACAAAACTGATATCTTGAAAAAATATATTGCACATAATAATCAAAATTAAACGTTTAACATTGCAAAATTTATTCGTAATAAGCAGCTAGGCATATTTAATTTTTGTTTCACATATAAAGCATATAATCAACCTGTAAAAAACATGAAATACATTTTTAAAAATATTTATGGAATCCATTTTTATGGTGGAGAAGGAATAATAGTCTGCTCACATCTTGATAAGAACATAAAATTATCAAAAACAGATTTTGTCTTAGTCTACACAAAGGAACATGAAGGAAGGACATTCTTAAAAGTGTAATGGGGAGAATTAGTTACAAATAAGACTAATTGAACTTTTTTACTATAAAATGTGGGGCAGCATAATTTAATAAGGTGAATTTAATTGAAAAACTACACTATGTGCCTTTTAAGAGAGGGGGCGAAGGGGAAACGCGGTTACAGCACTGTAAATTTTTTCAGCGTACAAAATTCTCTTAACATTTGGAACGGTAAGCTCAAGTTTTCAGTAATCTTAGGCGAATCTATTTTAAACGTCCAAGGTTGACTGTTATTAAAAAGTTGAAAAGAAAGGGTTATAGATAAAAATAAAAAAAATTCAAATAATAATGACAATAAAAGACTGTAAATACGTTAAGATCGCCGATTGCTCCTCCCTGAAAACTATATATAAAGCGACGAAAAGGCACAGGTATAATTTGAAATTGATCGGCAGCGGGGACTGTATTTCAGGTGGGCCGTAAATTTCAGTTACCTTTTCATCATCTTTTCAATTCCATAAAGCCAGACAACCCGCGTCTTCATTCACACGAGGATATGCTTATAAAAGTTTGGCGTTTCTGTAAGGGGAATCTAATTTTAAAACAATTAAATTTGTTATAAATGTTAAATTTATATATTAACTAAATGTGTAACTTGATAAGAAGTGCCAATTTTTAGTTGGTAAAACGTTACAGCCTCTTAAGACTACACCCCCACAACCTCCACACACACACACACACACACACACATCTGCGCAAGACACACCGTCTTCCATGTACGCTCCACTAGTTTGCTGTTGCACCAGCAGGTGGCGAGTAGAAATCGAAATAGGTCATCCAATGAAAGTACAAGAGCAAATTAGGTCAACTTAATGAATTAGACTTCCTGAGCATATTGCGGATGAATGGCCTAAAGTTAAAGTAACCAATTTTTACCGTAAAATGCCACATTGAACACAGAAGAAGACCACTGTTCATCTAAAGTTATCGGAGAACAGCTTTGTAAGTCCAAAAATCTTATTTCCATTCAGAAAATGATTGTAAAAAGTGTGTTTTACCAATAATGAAAATAGATCTATCATCTAGCACTGCATGTCAAATTCAGCATCATCATGTATAGTTACTACTAATATTAATTCATGCTTGAAGACACAATTCTACGAATGAAAAAAATCTTATGTACTGGTTAAAATATAGTAATATATGATTGATCTTCTAATTTGCAAACGTCTTGGCAGCAAAGAGAAAATGTAAGATACATCAATATTTTTGGTAAGAATTAACAAAACGTTTAAAACTCGCCTTTGAAATTGCAGATGAGTAATTTTTGATGATTAATAGGAGGTTAAAACGCCTATTAATTATAAAACCTGTACCAATAAGGTTATAATAATAATAATAATAATAATAATAATAATAATTATTATTATTATTATTATTCATGAACGTTTAAAATATAATGGTGGGTAAAATCCTGTCAATTTTTTTGAAGAATGTTGTGAAATAATGATTTTTTTAAATGATATTCCCAAATACAATACATGTCACCTTGATTTTATGTGTTATGTAGTAAAGAAGAAAAAAATTATCCATCAACCTGTTCAGGCTCTTAAGATTAAAGAGTTATGATTTTCAAAATGGAAATACATAGGTTGCACTCTGCCCTAACATTTAAGGCATCTTTATTTTATGTTTTACTGAAATTCATTTAACTCTTTTCTAAGAGCAGGTTGTAGAAAATATATCTGCTTTACACTTAATAAGTTTACTGTAATGTGTATACTATTAAAAAATCTTAAAACAAGTCATTAATTCAAAATTCAGAATTTTTGTGAGATGATATCTTAATGATATTTTTACTTTTTGCACATGTTCTTTGAGTCACACAGATCCTACTGCAGCTAAGTGGAGTGCGAACTGAAATGATAAATATTACATTTTCCAGTTGAGACAAGGCAAACAGGCACTACATCCATGATAAAGCCTCATTAGTCTCTGTCAGTCAACCTTAGATATGACAGGAACAGACCTGAGTGCCAGTCAGAGACACAGATGGTGTATAATGCCATGTAGAAAATACAGTGGAATTGATGGAGATCACTAGTATATTCAACCAACCAAGATTTTCAGTGTGAAACAGTGACATGATGTCATAGCGGTTCAGTTATCAGTGTGCTGCAGTGATGTGATTCTCCTACTTGGCCAGCATTATGGACAGCTTGTCTTCTTATTTTAAAGGGCTGTTGTCTCCACGGCCTCCTAAAAGAAGGTTACCAGGAAATGATCATCAGAAGTTGGAGAAAAAGACAGAAGTTGATGGTTCGTGTTGCACCTCAACCAATGAAGGAGATGTAAAAGTGACAGTCAAACAAGGGAAAGAGGATGGCGTATGGATATTAGAGTATATTATAAAAGGCAATAAAGATCCAGAGTTTGGTATTAGGCTGGGGAGTGTACAATCTGAGACAGAAAGTCATCAATTACAACAAGATGGAAAACCAAAGACTGTGATACAGGTAGTTGAGCTACGGCCTGGCAGTATTGCAGACAGTGGAAATCATTTACAAGTTCATGATGAAGTTCAAGAAATAAATGGACATGTGCTGCACTTAATATCACAAGAAAGAGCACGGTAAGTTGCATGTTGTGATATGCAGATTAAAAATGTCACATACAATGTGAAAAAAAAAGAAAATGTCCATGGCATAATTTAGAAATTATATTTATATAGTTTGTCTAGTAAAGGGTATGGTGAAGTGCCTTCTGGTTTTAGCATTTTTGTGGACAAATAGTGCAGTTTTATCTATGATAAGTATGTCTAGTCTATTGCTAAATAGCTGTATTTAAAACAGAGATGGAATTAGTTGATATTGCTAATCAGAGGTAAAGTGTATGGGATTTTTTAATTAATTCCTCCTTTGAAGTGCCTTTACTGTATCATTGTGATGCAGGAGATATATGCATTTCATAGCATGATGGATTCATAAGATAGTCCCTTTTGAGAATGCCTCTGAAATTTCTCAAGACTTGATGTAAATCTGGTATTTTAGCATCTAGTTACTTGATTAACATTTAACTGTAAACAGATATGCTGACCATGGGTTCTTCTATAAAGCGCTGTTCTTAAACTCTAATAGTGGGCAGATTGTGTTTCATATGAAGTATGCTATGTCACAGAGCTGTCTCCATCAGCTGGAGGTCTTTCCAGTCATCACATGGAACAGCTGGTATGTACACAGTAAACTAGTGATTTGTGGAAATTATTTTAAAAAGACAAAATCCATTTGTTACAAAATATTCCCTCTTTTACACCCATCAGCACCTGCTGCTTTTGGTGAGTTGAAAAGTATATTAATGGACATACAGGTAGTATATCATCACTTTGTAGGAGACTGACTGGCTTGTCAGGAATTCTCTAATTATACACCTTAATATTTCATCTGTGAGAGGAATCTCTCTGTAGAAGCTATTTACCTTGGAATACTGTCAGGGGCTGGGCTCAAAGATAGAGCAGATTAAAAAAATAACCTTGGGTTTAAGTCATTGGGGTTAAAGTCATACATATTCTGTCTGTAAAAAATTGATAGCAACACCAAGCATCTAAAGATTCTTTATGAAAACTTGCTAGGTGTTTATGTCTTTTTGTGTCTTAATTCTTAACTCTCCAGGTTATTAACAGCAATATGTGCCAGATGGAACAGTCCCCTAAGGGTTATTGTAGGTAACAGGCTGTTATTTGTGTCATTGCATATATTTGACGGGTATATTTTTCTTTGTCTCTGTGAGATATGGAGAATGGTCAATATTAATCCACTACCAGAAAAAACTCACCATAATTTTATGAAATTTTCCAATGAAACTGAATTTTTTTAGAGCCATCCATCCCACCACACACTGCTGTAGAATTACCTGTAAGGTGAGATATGGGGGTTTTATGTGATGTGTTAAGGTTATCAATCATCAAATGACCTGTTGGACTTAAGCTATACTTGGCTGCACATGGATGTCATGTATTTCATCTACAACTCCTGAGGAGACTGCTTGCCTATATATCAATCTTTATTATAATACTTTATAATTAATGTTTCAATTGGAATTTGCTTGTCCAGATTCTTTTGATGAATAGTATTTTCCTTTTATAGCTACTGGTCATGACAGAATATATATGTCTCTGATAAGAAATTTCAAATGATATTTTTTCTGAAAGAGTAATACAAGATTTTAAAGTATTTCTTGGTATATTTTATTATTTATAAAGACCAAAAATTTTAATTGAAATAGACTTAAAAATTGAATCATAATGCTTACACAGTGTTTGCACTGGGCAGTTAGTAAGTGGAGTCCTTTCGGACCCCACTGGAATTGAAAAGTGATATCCTTTGAAAAATTGGGGTCTCATTTTTGCCTTATATATATCATGATTACCTGAAATCACTTTTTCTGACCTCGCCAATGAACACAAAAGTGTAGTATCATGTGTTGTTTCCAAATAAGATAACGGAAAAAAAATTGACAGATGTGACAAAATAAGTACTATGCGGGCTGCTGTTGACATCATCAGAAACTTGTGACAAAACAGCTTTCACTTTCATAACTTCATATCTCCACTTCTAGGTACAGTCCACTTTTAAATGCTTTAAAGGGCCATTTTCTCAAAAGATTAATTTTGTGTGTAAAATAAAGTTACTTTCTATGTAGCTTTAAGCACAGAAATTCTGTGCTGCATGCAAATTGGGGCTTGTTAATGGAAATTCGGAGAAGCTCATTTTTAAATTTTTAAAGATTAAAATCTTTCCTCTGCAGGATGATTCCTACTTTTAGATTTTACAGTGTTTTGTCTACTGAATCCTTTTTCACATGGCGCACTATTGAGAGGTACAACTATGAAATATTTCATCATTAGAAAATAGTAAGGAAAATCATCCTTGTACCTTGTTGAAAGTAACTGTATAGCAAACTTTTCAGTGAACCAAATGGTCACCTGCAGAGAAATTTGATCGTGTAATAGTCTCTCCTAACAAAAATTGCTTACATAAAAAGATGAAAATTAAAGGTATCAGTTTTATCATGTGTTTATTTACATTGTGTATTAGACACTGGTAAGAGAAAAATAACCACAAAGTCACATTGATCAATGAATGCTACTGCAAGACATATTTAAAGCAACAGAAGTATCAGTTGTCCCACATGTGTGATATTGCTCCTTAAACAGTCTGTAGACTAAAACTTCATTTGAACATTCCAGATGGAAATGAAAATTGTCTAGAGATCTTACATCCTAAAATAATCTTATTATGCAAAGGCAAGGCGATATGATCAATATACGTATTTACTGACTACTGTAGCTGGTTTCAACAGCACTTGAAGATACAATGTGACTTAAAGAGGTTGTGAAGATTTTTGTTTTTAGTGACATTGAGTATTTCTCTTCTAAGGAAAAACATAAACATGCATGTGCAGTTAATGAGAAAAAAATGATTTGCATTATTTTTCTTTTGTTTTTTTTTTTTTTAAATTATTTTTTTCTTTAACTACAGGTAATGACACTTGATTGTTATGGCTTAAAGCAAAGATTTCCAGTACCAGGCACTGTCATTGAGTCATATTTTGGCACCTGAGGCAGGGGACAGTGTCTTAGCACCTTTCACTTTAAATGACCTCTCATTTTTATTGTTTTGACCTTGTATGTAAATAAACTTGTGGAAAGAAGTACTTGATGCATATTTGCATGTGTGATTACAAATAGATTGATGGATTCAGTATCATGATTTTCTCTGTTGTTTGTTTACCACCTGAAGTTCACACAGAAGCCGGTGATGTCAAAGCACATTAACTTTAGCATTATAGTTTTAAAGGTCAGCTCTACCTGATCATTCTGTACTAAGCATTCTCTAAAGAGAAAGCAATAAAAGGCCTTCATGATCTTATTTCAGACATTTAATAATGTTGTATAAACTTTTCCAAACATGGAAATATAACAATTCAATCATGTGCCTTGTTGCCGGGAACACAGGAAACTTTAAAACATGGCTTGCCAGAAGTATATATATCAAATGTTTGACAGGTGCTCAAAAATACGTGGATATGCAATATTCTGAACACAAGTATAATTGTAAATCATATGTTAAAGAAAACTGTTCAAAGTCTAAAAATTGCTCTAATACATAGGGATTCATTAGTGTGAATATCAATTGATATCATGGGGGGGGGGGGGGGGGAGTAGGGGGTAGTGGATGATCTGGTGCAGAAAATATTTTAACTTAACCCACTAAATGGGTTTCAAACCTAAGGCTATATCCAGAGTATTGACAGAACATGGTGTCTGATCAGATCTATTTGAGTTTTAATACAAAATGTTTGGCATCTGTGTCAGGTTCTGAAATTGACTGAAGTGCAATTAAGCATCACTCTCTTGCAAAGATATTGTGTAAGTAAGAAAGAATTGATGTTATAGAATTAGACCTCTTTTCCAAATGGTATATAACACATGAAATATTGTGCCTTTCTCCCTCAAAAAAAAAAAAAAATTTTATATATATATATATATATATATATATATATATAAAATATTTCTGGATTTTTAGATCCGTATTTTTATTTTTGGTGGGTGGGGTAGAGGTAGATCTTTGAATTGCTCATATAGATCTAAAAAAATCAAATTTGATTGTGGTTTGTAGTGGATTTGAAATTTAAAGTTAATAACCAGTAGGTATTCTGGACTATAAACTGCACAGTTAGCTAAGCCAACAGTTGAAAAGAATATAGCTCTGATATTGTTCAGTAAAGTAAATCCTCATGTTAAAGCACTTCACCTTACCTCCAAGTGTGAGAGAATTGTTAGTTTGAGTCCTATAGTAAGTGAAATTCAAGTGAAAAAAATTTAATCAATCAATCATTCAGTTGCCAGCCATTTAGGCAGATTTTAATGTAGAATAATGTTTAGAACATTTTTGATTGGTTTTATGTAGCAAATTTTTAAAGATTAGAACAGTTATTTTTCTTTAAAAGCATTTTATATTACAATTTAAGTGTATTAATATTTATGCCAAGGGAATAATCAATTGGAGCATAAACACAGAAAATGTAGTCATAAATGAAACAGAAACAAAGTACGTATGTTGTGCATAATGTTTTGAAAAGGACACACAACCAGCTGAACTGTGGTACATGACATACATCTAGTTACCATGGTGAGGCAATTGGCTATGTGGCAAAGGGTTGCCACTGAAAATGTATTAGTTCATGCACTATGTGCCAGCTTGTTATGCCATAAAACTTTACAAGAATGGAAGGATCACCCAAGGATAGAAAACTGTAGGTTTATTTAATATTACTAGAAGGAATTCTGCCACTTGGTAGATAGCAAACTTATAAGTTTGGACATTATATTTTCCCCCTTTCTCTGCCTGAGTATGTGTGTATATGAGAGGAAGTTGCCATGTCTAATGTGGATGACGGCCCTGAGGCTTCATGTTGTACAGCTTAATTGAAATTTTCATGACAAAAGTAATGTTATGAGTCCTATTACTCATGTTACCAGTGTATGAAATGGCCGCCTGCCCGCCAGCCCGAGGCTGGTAACTTTCAGGCCGGGCGGGTAAGATTTGCAAATTACCCGCCCGGCGGGCTGGCTATTTTTACAGCCTATTTCCACTTTTATTTTGTCTATGTTCACAAGCGATTTCAGCAAAATATCAGATAAACTCAATGTTTTCACCCACTTTCATAGAAGCAAAGAATTAAGCTTGCAATCGAACGTTCTTATCGAAATGTAACCAACAGTCTCCCTCTCAGTGGCCTCGTTTTCGAAGTTCCGTCTGTGTGATATGAAGTTGAAAAACAATTTGAAACAAGGTACATTGTTCTTAACCAGCTTCAGTGCACAGCAGATAATGTTACGTCATTGTTTTGTGTAGAGGAGATACCGCAAGTAGCAATTTGTAGGTTGAGAGTAATAAAAATGTGAAGGTATAAAAAATTATGATATTGATTAAATAGACTTATAGGTACATGAAGTGCTTATAATCAACAGTAATCAAGGCAACAGAGGCAAATTAAAGGAAAATTTTACAAAAAATTTGAATCCCAAAAGTGTGAGTGAACGTACGAGTTTACGCCGTGCGTCAGATGTAGTTTTTTTCCCATGTGCTTTCATCTTGGGCTGTCAAAAATGAAAAGATTCTATCAAGTCCGATAGAGAAGTTCACAAAAGAAAAACAATTGAGGAAAGAAATAAAAATAACAAAGATTACGACAGAACCAAATGAAAGAGAACAAATTGGGACTCATGGAAAGGTGACTTCGATTTGCAATTAGTCGAGCGGCAACATTTTTTGTAAAACCGTAGGCCTAACTCCAAAGTATCACGCATTGCGACCAAGCGCAAGCATCTCGATCCAATAACTCGCCCATACTCGCCCCATATAATATATTGTAGCCTCTATATGATATATATAGCTATTCTCAATAAGCAATGCTTTCAAGATACGGGGCCCTGCAGGACTGTCTATGGGCCATTAGCGTGCAGGACCGTTCCCGACCGCTTTTAAAAGCTTAAAAGCGATATTCAAAGGGACCCTATACGTGCTGAATTCTTTCTTCTTTATTGTTAGCACAGAGATCAATTTATTTGACAACAATATATATGTTTGGTCATACTTGTTGCTATACAGAAAAGCAAAAATTATGATCAAATGATATCACGAAATCGGAATAAAAGTTATGAATAAATTATTGAAGAAGAAATGAGAAACAAAAGGGGGACATAAACTGAATTGACTACCCCCNAAATCCTCATGTTAAAGCACTTCAACTTACCTCCAAGTGTGAGAGAATTGTTAGTTTGAGTCCTACAGTAAGTGAAATTCAAATGAAAAAAATTTAATCAATCAATCATTCAGTTGCCAGCCATTTAGGCAGATTTTAATGTAGAATAATGTTTAGAACATTTTTGATTGGTTTTATGTAGCAAATTTTTAAAGATTAGAACAGTTATTTTTCTTTAAAAGCATTTTATATTACAATTTAAGTGTATTAATATTTTTGCCAAGGGAATAATCAATTGGAGCATAAACACAGAAAATGTAGTCATAAATGAAACAGAAACAAAGTACGTATATTGTGCATAATGTTTTGAAAAGGACACACAACCAGCTGAACTGTGGTACATGACATACATCTAGTTACCATGGTGAGGCAATTGGCTATGTGGCAAACGGTTGCCACTGAAATATGTATTATGTTCATGCACTATGTGCCAGCTTGTTATGCCATAAAACTTTACAAGAATGGAAGGATCACCTAAGGATAGAAAACTGTAGGTTTATTTAATATTACTAGAAGGAATTCTGCCACTTGGTAGATAGCAAACTTATAAGTTTGGACATTATATTTTCCCCCTTTCTCTGCCTGAGTATGTGTGTATGTGAGAGGAAGTTGCCATGTCTAATGTGGATGACGGCCCTGAGGCTTCGTGTTGTACAGCTTAATTGAAGTTTTCATGACAAAAGTAATGTTATGAGTCCTATTACTCATGTTACCAGCACAGGCTGTGATATTTCATCTCCGCAGATGCCTTCCAGACTAATGGAGCACACTATAAGCTTGTATAATCCAAAATATATGAAACAAATCTTTCAACAGGGCTTGTAACTCCCTGGAAAAGTTATAATTTGATAATAGGACAAGACTATTTTATCATTGACCAATTAATAAATATGTTATCTAGCTGTGGTTGTCAGTCTGTCCAAAGTTTACTTTTTCATGTTTCAAGCCTTTCATGGGTTTGGCCCTGAATGTGACTGCTTAGACTATAAATTAGACATACTTCATGAGACCACTAACCATTCCAATGTCCGATGAGCAGAGTTCTTATAATCCAACTCTTTCCACATATATTAAGGCTGTATTCCCAGAGCTTTTAGATCGATCTATCCCCGCGGGGAGTCTCACTAGATTACTGTCTGATAATCCGGCTTAAATGTCCGTCCCGCCTACTACAAGCTGTAAGGGGGTAATTAACTTTCGTGTCCGCTCGGCTGACAGCTATTTAGCGTGAACCCCCAGGGAGTTAGGTTGATCTAAAGTAGATCGATCTAATCTCTGGAAGTGGGGTCTTAGGTTCCTCTGAATGCACAGGGCCACCAACATAACTTTCCAACATGATGTAAAGTTGCCAGAAGTTTGTCCATACAGTGGCTGATTTTGACCAGAAATCCATCTGATGGCCTTGGCATTTATTTGAATCTTTTATAATCCTGCTTTTTGCATTTATGGTGGAATATCTCTCTCTCTCTCTCTCTCTGTCTCTCTCTCTCTCACACACACACACACACACACACATGTATATTTTTTCTTTTTCTTGACCTTTTAAATAATTTTGGCACAAATAAAGTAATAAATTTGTCAGCATGAGCATGCTTAAAGTTCAAGCCTTGAACCATGAGGAGTCCTCATCAGGACATTCATGTACCATGTAATTAAATAGTTGTATTTGAAGTGATATGTTCAGGAAGGATTATCCCCCCTCCCCTCTTCCTTGGGCCTTTTCACTGTGGATGCAAAGGTCCACAACAATTACTTGTTCATCTGATTTTGAATATTGACATGGTTCTTTTTAGCTCTGTCCATTTGAAATATATGTGTCCCAAAATTAACCCTAGGTGAGTCATGACCATCTCTATCCCCTCATTTTGGGCCTAGTCTTGTGCATTTGTAAATAAAATTATAAGGGATACAATTCCCCATGTATCCCAGATCTATATCTATTGTCATTTGGTAACTTCTTGCTCGGTGATAAATTTAAGGAACTCTATTTTGAATTTACCTGCTGAAATAAATTTTTCTCTAGGAGAAGGAAAAGAAAATTCTTACCATGAATCATTGCTTAACCTGTTGCTGGTCTTGGGTTTCATGCTCTATTTCATTTTTTTTATTTAATGATTTTGTTCTTAATGACTGGCCAGTTATTTATAGTATTAATGTCTTCATTAGGGAAGATAAAGTAGAGCTGAAGGATAAAAGACACTGGGAGCATTCCCATAACCCTATTGTACATGTACTAGCTGGAATGATCTAACTCCCTGAGGTTTCTTAGTTTAAGCGACTTAAATGCCTGGCATGCCCCTTTGTAACTTAAAGTACTTGGGGAAAACTTTGTGGTCTTTGATGTTCATTGTTCATGTTGCTTTGCGAGGGATGTGCCTGACAGTTAAACTTACATTAACTGTGCCTGAGAGAGAATCCTCGCTGAGATAGATAGATAGATCCTGCTAGTATGATGGGAACGCAGTCATAAACCCCGTTCTCATACCAAAATTGATGTAGCAGGATCGACCTATCTGCTGTTAACTTAAGGGGTAATTACTAGCATTTAGCAGCTTCAGTGGGCATGCCAGACATCTAATGCAATGTAGTGAGAAACCCCTCGGAGGTGGATCAATTCTGTTAGCTCTATGTGGTTATGGGAATGAGGTCATAGATAATAAGACTTACAGAAATTTTCAAATGCATACAGTATACCTGTAAGTTTCAGGGGCATTTATTTGCAGAGGAATGCTAATTTGCTGGCACATTTCTTAGTAACCGTACCATTTCTTGAGCCAATAAGAAAGATATTCTATATCGGTGTTATTGTCCCAAAGGTATTCAATGTGTGCAATGAACCCCTGCCAATCCTTTGTTGTTGTATTATATTTAATGATTATAAACAGAAAGGAAATTTCTGCAGTGTATATCACAGTTTGAATCCAGGAAGCAGGAAGTGTAATTCATTTGTGTACAGTAGTCTTTGGACCCCATGTATTGAAATTTACATTTTTTTTTTGCCAAAGGTTTGTTTGATGAAAGGAGTAAGTATATAAAAATCACTATTTCAGGGAGATTTGACATTAAAGTAGAACAAATATGTAAAACAGTTATGAATGATAAAGTATCACTGATAAAACTGTTTTGAATGGTCAGGTTTATCATCCAGTGACACTCATATTGTTTAGTTCCAGTCATTTGTTACCTATATTAATCAGGATTGTAGGATTGATTGATCATGCAATCATGAGACCTGGAATTTCAGCAGGATGTGCTGATGACACATAAAATTATGATGAATTCCACTACTAGTAAATATGTGACCTTAAATCTTTTTCAGATGGTTTCTCAACAGTGCTGTAAGGTCAGGACGAGTGATGATGGTTGTAAGACGACCAAAGAAGACTTTAAAATCTCCCAATGTATCTGACATTGAAGGCCATCCAGAAACTGCAAGTCCTCAAACAGAAGATCATAGTGGAAAAAGAGATGACATTGAGAGTATAGATGCTGATGCTAATCCAAAACTTGAAGGTAGCAGCGAAACAGAAAAACATAGTATGAGAAAGTCTTCCAGGGATAGATCAAAAGATGGCAAATCTAAGAATGTGTCTGTTTCAAATATGCAGGATGTTAGTCACAGTTCCAAACATTTCCCTAATACAGAACTAGGTGCTAAAGTGAACACAATTTCTACTGAGGATCCAGGGGGATTCTTGAAAGAGCCCTTGAAGACTGATGCAGCTGTCACTCCCAAAAAATCTCAGGGTTTGACAAAAAGTAGATCTAAACCTCCAAGACTAAAAAGACAAGATACCACAGAAAGTAAGCACCTGGAGGCCAGTCAAACGAGTGACAATTCTACACCTAGCCCAAAACAGAAAGAAATACCCTGTACAATGAGACACCATTCCAAGGAAAGGACTAGGGACATAAACAGAAATGCATTGCTGTTGGAGCCAAATTTAGATCTAGAAACTTTGCCAGAAGGATTGGGAAGAACGCTAAGTGCCAAGGTAATTATACTGGTAGTACATTTTAAAATAGATTTGACCTGTGTAGAATTTGATGGAAACTTCTTTTCTTTTAGCCAATTGGGCCTGTGACTATATTTACACCAATTAACATAACATGAGCTATACTGAATTTTTCCTTAAGACATGGCTTGACAGAGAGATAATAAATGTGTAATTGTCAGGATTATGACCTCAACTTTATCATTATAAAATGTCACTGAAAGGTAGATAGATATAAAGCTAAAGATAATGCACAGCTTAATCCATGTAGTTTCGCATCATTTGCTGTCACTATTTTAAACTTCCTTAGACCTGTTGTTAATTAGCAACTTAAGGGAGAGTTTTTCTGAAAACTTTAAGGTAGACCTTTTTACCCTCATAATCAACCTAACATGAGATATGGCATGGAACCTTGGTCAAATTGTGATTCTAAGTAGACCTTAAAGGGATAATAACTCTTCGTATGAAATCTGTATTTCACAATAAAAACATTGTGAGTGACTCATAAAAATATAATATATTCTGTTTTCCCACAAAAACAGCTGTTATAGCTATTATTCTGATATCTGAGCTTGTCTTTTGACCACGTGACCTCCATTGATGGCTATACTATGTTAAAATCTCTTAAGAGATTTTAACAAAAAACCAAACTTTTTAGAAAAAAACCAGGGACTAACTTTGAATGTAAAAATGGATTCATTAACCATTGGTAAGTATGGGAAAATTGTTGTTTACTCCAGGAAAATTCATTTTTTGGCCGAAACGAAGAGTTATTATCACTTTAACATGCCTTTCTAACAGCTCCGACCACCTGATGCCACCTGCTTATGGCAATAAATAAATAAATAAATAAATAAATAAATAAATAAATAAATAAATAAATAAAACTCAGAACAATCACAGTTAAATTACTAATTGTTACTTTTCCTTCTTTAAAATGACATATTATGGCCGTATTCAGAACAGCAAGCTAACTGGTCCATGGATCACATATGACAACCCACTTATAAGCTTATTGTCTAATCTCCCAACAGACACTGAATTAACAATAGACACGGAATTACGCAACAAGCATTCAAGTGGGTCAGCCATATCTGATTTGTGGACTAGTAAGTCTGCTGTTCTGAAAGTGTCCTATGCTTCCTTACTGATTTTAATTTTCAAAGTCATAGAAAGTAATGTAATTATTTTAAGGACAGTAGTAATTTGAAATTTAGTTTTGTTTACAAGCAATATCTGTCATTTTGTTTTGGCTCTTATTTCTTTTATGGGGTGATATATTTTTATTTTCAGATTGTGGAATGTTGAAACAAATTTTCATTGCTTATATTTTGTTTACGAAAAAGGACTGATCAGTTTAACATTAATACCTTACGAAGATTTTTTTCTCATTTGCTATAAATGGTTATTGAGAAAGGATTGTTTCACATTATTGCATGGTATCACAGAAAATACAATCATGTCTGGTCTTGCTATGATTAAATCGCATGCATGCATGCATGCACACTTACACACACATATGCACACATACACACACGTACGTACATACCAAATACACACACACATACATACATGCATGCCATATACATACACTGCATAAAAGGATAAATTTTATCAGAATATCAGGGTTTTTTATGTTTGTGGTTTACCAGGGCAGATTTAATGTAATTCTTATTACAAAAGGAGCATTTTAGAGCATAATGAGAAATGGAACTCTTGTAGCATGAATTATGAGGCATTCATTGCTTATACAAATAGAAATCAAAGGCAGAAGCAAAGTGAGGCATACTTATGCTGTCAAATTATTATTTGTTATGACAGATTGTTGCAGGGAATGTACAGCATAGTGCCTTTCACAACAACATTGGGTCCTTTTGAAAGAAAGAAATGCACCAGCCAATGGAAATCTGTTTGTTTTGATATATTTAATACATTCAGCAGTGCATTATCAACACCATATTCTTTTCTTTACCTGTCAATCTGCTCTCCTTGTGTTGTAAGGAATAGTTGTGGTGGCCTATACCACCACAAGATACACATGACTTCACTCTGAAAAAGGTGTATCTGTGACCAGCAGACATTGACTGGTCAGGAAGGTGGTCAGAAAAGTATGTGAATTGTGTAGGCTTAACATTTCTTAGATCGAAGATGGTATGTACTGGGCATTTTTTTTGTTTCATCTTTCTTAGGGCTTTGGAAAAAGCACTGCAATGTTGCTGTAATGTGATGACAGTGTTATTGCATAAGAGACTTACTGGTAATAAAAATCATGAGAGTTCATTGATTTAGATCAAAAATACGATAAGTGCGTTTCCATCATGGTTCCCTATGTTTTAGATTTTACAGAAGATATTTGAGTGTAGATGTGATATCATTACCTTTGTTTTTCAGTCCTCTGCTACCAATGGCACCCCTAAAATCTGGCAGATATGGCATGTCGTTTGTAATATAATATTCAGTATCTAAAATGGCAGGTCAACAGACTCCTGATCAGGTTTAAGATATGAATACAAAGGCATTAAAACATTTACCAGAGAAATAATGATTGTTTGATGTGATATATGTAAATCGGTACCTATGATTTTTTTTTCAGAGGAAGAAGGTTGTTGGGCTCCAGTTGGTGAAGGATGATTCTGGCTTGGGATTGCAGATAGCTGGTGGCAAGGGTTCCAAAAGAGGAGACATAGGCATATTTGTGGCAGGCATAGATAAAGGCAGACCAGCAGACAAGTGAGATTTTTTTCTTGATTAAGTGATTTCATTTCAATTTACCAAAGAAATATGTGCGAAATTTGATATTGCATATAGCATGAATTGAGACAGAAATAATTGTATTGTGCATCAACAAAGAACAGGACAAATCACTTTTCTTTAAAATCAATACACAGACATTCCAGATTATTTGTATGATTTTCTTCTTTAAGATTTTTTTGTTTGCTTGAAGATCTGAACTCTTTTAAAGGAACGAACCAGATACCTACAGCTGTCTGATTTCTCCTATCACCATATTATGTGCGTCACTTTTTTTGAGATTATAAGTAGAAATACTGTACAATAGTGTTGCATTACACAAATATTTCTGCACATTATGTCCTGTGAACACAAACCAATCCTAAAAATTCAACTTAGGTGTGATATATGAACATTTTTATTGTACAAATTGAAATAGGATTAAAATTGGAATAGAGAGACTAAATCTTTAAGCTCATCCCACGCATCTCAAGAAGAGTAGAAATAGAACTTTAATGCCATTCTAAATAGACATCTCACAGGAACAAACGGAGCCAGTGTGTTAATCCCACTGGCCAGCACTCCCACTGACCAACCTATATTTGTCCTTGGACGGAAGGGTGTAGGGTGGCATTATTACTTTTATAATATAAAGCTGATCTGTTGCAATTTCTGTTCTAACAATAGCTTCTAATAAAGCCGACTGTAAACATAGATGGAAATCTGCACAATCACATAACATTTCAGCAGGATAATGGGTTTACTTTTCCCTCCTGTTGCCAGAATCACGGGTCAGTGATTTCAGTGAATTGAAATTTTACTCTGAACTATTTGGGACTGGTGGTTTTAAGTTAACAGTTTGAAATGTTAGCCTAACCGAAAAATTAGAGGGGGCACATTTGCAGAATACGGAGCATTTTCATTTTAAATTGAAAACAAGAGGTTGTCAAAGTCTCTAATTTTTTATATGAAGAAGGGGAAATGTTAAAAAAGAGAAGGTGAGGTGAGGCAAGGAGGTAATCTGTTTTCTTTGGTCTGATATTGTTTACATACTCGTTCCAGTAGTGTGTACAGTTTATGTTATGGTGTAACATTTTCTGATGAAGTGAAGGTCTGGCATTTGACACAAATGTGTAAATATGTTGTTAGTATGACATCAGTTATTTATATATGGCCATTTCCTTTAAGATGTTAACATATTTTGTACTGTTATTAGTGGTTTAATTCACATGCAAGTAATTTGAATGTAAGTAATATTTCAAGGTATTTGCATCATATCCTTTGGTTGTGGTTCATAAAAAAAAAAGAAAAAAAGAAAATTTTGCATATTCATTTAACATACAAGTAATTTAATTGTTGCATAGTCACTTTGATTCAGTTTTTCTTTTAATTCCCTACTAATCTGAATGTGACATAGGGCAGTGTTTATGTGATATCTGATGACTATTAGATTGAATTTTTCTTTTCTGTCAGGGATGGAAGACTGAGAAAAGGGGATGAGCTGTTGGTGGTCAATGGTAAAAAATTAATCGGAAAAACACACCAAGAAGCAGTAAATATTATCAAGGAAGCACCTAAAGTTGTGGACTTAGTGATAGCAGCAAGAGTGAGTATATATATATATATATATATATATATATATATATATATATATATATATATATATATATATATATATATATATATATATATCAATGAACTCAAGTCTATTTTTGTTGATAACAAAAAAAAAAAAAAAAAAAAAAAAAAAACACCAGGCCAGCAGCCAGCAAATTCTAAGGAGTGGTTCTTTTTCTAAAAAAGTGGACCTTTTACAATGAAGCCTCTGTGAACTAAGGTCAAATTTTACCCAAATGGACCTTTTCCTGGCAAAAAGGGCAGTTTTTTCGAACCCCCCCCCTCCCCCTTCGGCTACAGGCCTGAACACCTAAATTAATGTTTTTGTTGGGGTTGCTTTCAGTTAATCATGTTCTGTTAATTTTATTGAATGAGTGAAATGAATTGATTACTTGTAGGTTTCTTTCTCATGATTGTTCATTGAAAATGAACAATGTTTTAATGGGAATGTTTTAGGGCAAACACAGTCGTAATGCTTCAGATACGAGCACAGCCTCATCAGCCTCCTTGGAGGTGAAAACTCCACAAGAGCCAAGCCCTACAACTGCTCTGTTGCCAGACACAAGTAAACACCAGGTATATATATGGTTAAGAAATAGAAAAAGACAGAGCGGATATTTCTAAAATTCATTCCTAGATAAGTGAAAGTTTTATTGTTGAGGAGTGTTTAAGTCTGTAGTTTTTTTTTTGTGATAAATCTCTAGGTTAATTGCTGAGAAAATTTTTAAAAACAACGGATTTAAAAAATATCTCTCTATTATCATTGTGTCATTACTACAATTTTGTGTATGTGTGTTAACTGCTTGCATGCGTCGGAAGTAGGATATTGACGTAATTATGATATTTAATTTCAGTTGCCTTGTATCCTATCATTTTTCAGTTATCAAGGTGACTGCTTATTGTATTTTTAGGTAACCCCCAGCAGGGAAAACTCACGATCTTCCCTTCTTGGCAACAAGAGCCCCAAAATGACAAAAAGCCCCAAAATGTCCTCTCCTCGAAAAGTAACTCTGGTAAAAGGTGCTGGAGGAAAGGGCCTAGGCTTCAGCATCGTGGGAGGAGAAGATTCTGCAAAGGGAAGGATGGGGATTTACGTTAAAACCATTTTTCCAAATGGTCTAGCTGCAGAAGATAGAAGGTTGCAACCAGGTAATAAATATTTGATAAAAGTATGGAGACCAGCTTTTGAAGGATTGGGCTTGTTTGTATAGTGCATATCATTTTTTCATGAAGTGGGATTATATTTTTACTCTAATATAGAAGATAATAGTACAAGAAGAGGCAAAACTCAGTTTTTGTCAGTAAACCAATTGATTTTAGGATGAGGAACATTTCAACCATTATAATAGCACAGGTTTTAGTCTCTCACAACTCTTAGTAGGGTGGGTTTTATTTATTTAAAACGTGAGACGTTAATAAAATTATTATTATTATTATTATTATTATTATTATTATTATTATTACCATTATAATAAAAACTCAGTCATGTAGAACTAACACAGCATCATTCTGAACTCACTCACCAGGTGATGAAATCTTAGATGTGAATGGCCAGTCTATGCAAGGTTTGACACACAGTGAAGCCATTACCACCTTTAAACAGCTGAAGAAAGGAGAAGTGTCACTCGTTGTTAAAAGCAGAATCTTCAGTCCAGATACAAGGTATAGAATCAATATTATCTTTGAAAGATATTAACTAAATCTCCAGTTTTATCTTTAACTGCCATCTGTCAACTGTATATTAAACTTTTCTTAAATTTGATGTATCATTCATAAGAGAAACAATGGTCCTTAAAGTAATTTCATATGGTTCATGTTTGAATACTTTTTTCTTTATTGAGATGGAGGGCTCTAGTGATACTTGTGGAAAAGTGCTTTTACTATAAGGTGTGGATGAAAGAAATAATTTAAGTTAACAGTAATATGAGAGTATCATATTTGGAGCTGTTTGTTCACATACCCAATGCTATTTAACTTTTCCAGTAGCACTGCCCAGATAATGACTTACTGAAGCCTAGAATATTGATACAGTGATTATCTGGGCATGATGTTACATCATTCAAATTTAGGATTTCTATAAAGCTTTCACATACAAACAATAAATAACTGTGTTCATTTTGATTTCCTTGTATAAATATGAGCTTCATTTTGCTTCAAGGATCTGTTCAATCAGAAATGAAAATAATAGAAATATTTTGGTATTGCTATGAGTTGCTGTATTTTCTTGTTTTGTTTGTTTTGTAAGTTAAGCCTGCATGATTGTGCAGCAACTGACACATAAAGAGTGCACACATATGGTTTGTCTGGATAGTAGAGCAGGCATGGGGAGACTGAAGTCTTTTTTTAAGAAGTTGAAAAAGTCTAGAGATCATACAGACGTGTTGGAAGTGCTGTAAGATAACCTATGATACTTTTACAAATTAGGTAATGGGGTGATAGGTTTGGGTCATGCAAAGGATGCATTAGTAAGTGGCAGGGTTTGAATAGGTACATTATAGTACCTCGTATATGTCTTCCTTGCTGTTGTATACTATATAATTTTTTACTATGTTTTATATTCAGTCCAAAGTCAGACCGCAGGTCTCTCAGTTTCTCAAAGCTCAGTCTTCCACCTATGGACATCACCAACAAGATGGCTTTGATGAGTGGGGCATCTGCTCTGGCAGCAGAAGGTGAAGAAAATGAAAATGAGCCTATCAAAGAGGTCACTTTATATAAAGGTATATGGGGTGATGGGATTTTTCTCATCTAAAATATGCATCATTTTCTGTTCAGTGGGTGACGCTCAGAATTACAAATAATTGCTTTTGCAGAATTTTTGCTTAAACTCTTCCCCATTTTATGCTTCCTTTGACCATTGGTATCAAAGATAACCACACTCAGTCATTCATACATCTCTCATTAGCAAAATGTGTACTTTTCTCTGCTTCAAATATAATCAATATACATTTGATTTTATTTGTCATACTGTTGAACATTAAGAGATGGAAACTAATAGTAGCTTAGTTATTTGATGGAAACTAATAGTAGCTTAGTTATTTGAACTATGACAAAAGGTGAATCTAATTATTATGTATGATTCTTATATTTTCAAGAACAAGGCATAGGTTTGGGAATTGGTGTTGTTTGTAGATCATTAATGGAGGATCAGAGAGGAATATTTATTGAGGATCTTGCTCCTCATTCTCCAGCTGACTTGGATGGAAGGTTGAGGTAAAGCTACTTTAAGGGCATATTTAGAAAAAAAGTTGTCTTTTATAAACAGATTTGTTAAGCAATAAAAATATACCAATGCTTGTATTGGTTACTATTATCGGTATTGCATATAATAAGATGTGCAATGGTGTTAGTGATTGAAATAGTAACTTGATTTAGATGATAAAAGAAATAGTCAATTTTTGTAAGTATAAAAAGTGGTTTAAGTGCTACATTTAAGTTTTTGAATGCTAACACTTCCAGGAATGGTGACCAAATTCTTCAGGTGAATGAGTACAATCTGACCAATGTTAGCCTTAAGGAAGCCTATTCTATATTCGGTGCATTGAAGCCAGGTCACGTAAAACTCATCATTCTAAGGAACCTGGCCTCTGTGGTAAGAAACAACACTGTGACATATTATTTTCTGTTTGTAATCACAATTTTATTTCTTTCAAAAAGTTCGGTACATGCATAACAAACATTTTGCAAGATAACTGTTGTGCAGTGTTAAGGTCTGATTAATTGCATGATGATTTACAATATCTTGGGTTAAAAAAGTATCTTCTTTTGAATGCGCCTTCTTAGAAATCACCCCCTGCCGTTTGGATATGGAGGTATTTTTGATGTGCCAGAGATGTCTTGAGGTACATACATGTATTATGAGGAGTGGAGCTTTAGTGAAGATTTGTCTTTTTGTTGCCCTGATAGCAGAGATATACTGTTTTGAGTGATAAAACTGATACTTATATGTCCTTGGGAATTTTGATTATTTTGTTTAGTGCATAAGCTGAAGTGCTTTGTTAGAGAGTTATTTTTGGTAGCAGTTGTAGTGTGTTTTGGATATTGTAAGATATTATTTAGCCTATGATTAGTTTTGTATTGTTGTGAAAACTCCAAAACCCATCACCTTTAAATTAGTGTTTTTAAAATTCTTTTTTACTGTACGTGTTGTAATGTGAGTAGAAGTATTCAACAGTTAATTTTAAGTTGATTACTTTGATATCATTTTAAAGATTGTGGAATAATATAAATCCTTGGAGTTTATCTATTTGATCGTTTGTGGTTCCAACGATAATTATCATTAACTTTGGAACAAAATATTTATAAAACAGCCTAATGATGTTGTGACAAGGGCTTAAACATTTTTTTCCAAACTTGGTGATTATTATCACTAAAGGTTTATTAAATCTTTTGGATTTTGAATTTAAACAACATCTGTTTGACTTCCATTGACCATCTTTCTCATTTTTTATGGTAATTAAAAAAGGGGGGGGGGAGAGGAAAATTAAATCTCTTATGTTATGATAATTAAACCAGAATTACACTTAAAATTACACTTCATCTGTTTCAGTCATCTCCACCATCTAGTTCAGGTGGCTCCTTGTCTCCCACAAGAGTCAAACATGTCCTGCCACCAGATTTATGCAGAGAAAGCTTCCATGTTGATGACACAGGTAAAAAGAGTGTATTATTATAGTTAGGTTTAAAAGTAATAGTTTTAAAAGTTCTCTGTGGATAGGCGTTTAGACTGTGTTACAGTATTTTTTGTTACATGAATGTATTTTTTTACGTGGGTCTGTTTTTTTTATGTGGATTATGGTAAGATGAATATTAAATCCCTTGACAATACCAGTGTATTTTCTATATATGTACGCCATACCCATATAATCACTGACATCATTTGGGAAAGTATATAGGTTGCAATGGGATTATTAGGGAATTGTAATAGGTTTTTAAGTCCCATTTGAAGCATACTTTTTATACACTCTAAATTAATTTTTCATTCCTTCAGCAGCTGCAGGGGGGGTAAAGCAACCTACCACATGCAGAAAGTACTAAAACAAATAATGTTTGAAATAGGTGCATTTTCTCTGAGCTAAGCAATTTAAGTATGTTTGTACTTGGCCCAACTTCCATGACCTCCCTCTGCGTGGTTTAAAATAAACACTTAGATTGTCAAGCACACTGTTATAGCAAGAATTAGCTTTGGAATTCAGTGATTCTATTCATGTTTATTCAATGGATATTACATGCCCATATTTCCTCACCTGCGAGCAAACAGGAACCCATGATTGTTAGGAATGAAGTAAGCCTTCCAGAAGGTCATAGTGCAGAATGTCAGGTAGTTTGTAGTTTCATGACAAAATCTTTTTTCTTCTTGATTTTGCCTGTCATGTCATATCTTCTAATATTATTGAGAAAAAGAAGGTATTTACAAAATAGCTATCATAATGCCAATGCTGTTTAAATTACTCTGCTGTCTCCTTTTTGTCAAGCATGAGTGACAGATAAGGATTTGCATAAAAACATACATTTTGGAAATGTCTCTAGTTATAGATAAGTATATATTTGTTCATTTGCACCNGGCAAAATGTGGCATAAATGCCAGACTTTGCCAGACTTGGCCCAGATCTGGCAAGTGTCTGGCAAAATCTGGCCCAGATATTGCCAGACGTTGCCAGATCTGGGCCAGACGTGGGCCAGATTACTGAGGCTGTCTGGGATTCTATTCGTGTTTATTCAATGGATATTACGTGCCCATATTTCCTCACCTGCGAGCAAACAGGAACCCATGATTGTTAGGAATGAAGTAAGCCTTCCAGAAGGTCATAGTGCAGAATGTCAGGTAGTTTGTAGTTTCATGACAAAATCTTTTTTCTTCTTGATTTTGCCTGTCATGTCATATCTTCTAATATTATTGAGAAAAAGAAGGTATTTACAAAATAGCTATCATAATGCCAATGCTGTTTAAATTCCTCTGCTGTCTCCTTTTTGTCAAGCATAAGTGACAGATAAGGATTTGCATAAAAACATACATTTTGGAAATGTCTCTAGTTATAGATAAGTATATATTTGTTCATTTGCACACATGTATGAAATGAAAGATGATCATAAGTTGACTATAAACCTTGAATCTAGTAATATTGTTTCAAAGTACCATGTCATGATCCATTACTCCATGTCTCATATACATTTTCAGTTTTGCATTAGTTTTTTTTTATAATAAAACCATTCATCTGCAGGCAGAGCATTTCACATTTTAATTGCCAATCCATTAGCCAAACAGTGAGGTAAAAAGCTTCCTCTGACATCCATTCATCAAATGTTACAAGGGCAGCAACTGTAGCTTATACTTTACTCAGTATGCACTAATTATCAAAGTGAAGCAGGGAATGCAGTAATCAATATGTTATTACAATACATCAATTGTTCCTGGTGCCATACTTCTGTTTTGGGAGATTAAGGGAATATTGATTGGGGCCATAAAGTATGTATTGATTGGGGTTAGCCCAATGTATCATAGTGGACAGTGCAGGTATTCCAGGATTGAGACAAATGTAACTGTCCTCTGGTTGGGTTAGCAGGTGAGGTATGGTGATTAGATCTGTATGCAACTGCCAATAAGTTACTGTATGCTTGCTTTTTTTTTAAAATTAATTAATGTGAAATTTATCTGTTACAGTCTGTTTGTTGATATGAATTTTTTTTTTTATGAGATTAGTAAATGTTAACTGTGTTTACAAAATATTGTTTTTAGTTACAAGATTAACAAGAATGTTAGCACTGTCAATCTTCAAGCCTTTCCATGTATGTCGTTAGCTTTATGTGCAGAATAATGTGCGTCTTCAACTTTGTCCATTTGCATGTGTTTAATTGTGGAAACCTGTGCACTGACACTAGCTGTGATGCTAAAATGTGTTTGGTTCTGTTACTCTTTAGGCACTTGTTTTAGTTTTCATGTACTTGACTGTTCTTTGTTCAGGTCAGACGCGTGGAGGTAACGTGTGTAGTAAGTACGTATTGAACCTTGTATTCATTATTATGACTAGTAACCCTCAATGTAGATTGTCTGTCGCTGCATCCTGTAAGGTATAGTAGAACTGGTTGTGGTACGGAGTTAACAAAAACTGATAAAAAACTCTTCAATCACACATTTATTACCCTATGAAGTTAAGAAAGTGAAGGGGTAGTTGTCTCAGTATTTGTTGATGTGGTAATACATATATCTTGGTGTTCACAACCTTGTTGATGTGGATTTCGTTGTTGTAGTTTGTACCAAAATATATCTGGATCTCGTGGTTTTGGATAATAGTGGTAAAAAAAATTGATTGCATGAGAATAAGGCATCTTATCACTCACTATTTGGTGTGGAGATTTTTAATTACAGAAGTATAAAAATGGTGGATTGAGGGTTGGATTAATGATAAATTATGAAAATCTGCTTAATCAATGATTGTTCCTCAGCTGAACACCAAATGCATGCTGTGAATTACAAGACAGTTATGTTTTGAAAATGTCAAGTCTTGTATTCATGTTGTATTTAACCTCTGCAACCAGAATTGATATTCAAATCCTGAACAATTTATTAACCTCGTTGTCAGTTATTTTATGGAATGGAGTGAATATTTTTGTTTTGTTTTTATCGTACATGGTGTTTGAATGTCTGGTCTTGACTGGGTGTTTTGCATTCAGTCAAAAAAGAAATATTCACCTTGCTTGTTTCTCCTTGTCTGAAAAAAATGTGCATTGTTGTCTTGTATCAAACTTCAGTTATGTTCAAAATTCAAGGAATTTTTTTTTATATAGTTGCAATAAAAAGGAAAAACATGACATTCCCTGTATTGATTGATGCTAAGATGTCATTAGTGGAGGGTCATGTGTGTTTGGTCTGTTGTTAGTAGTTGTAATATTAAATGAATATTTGATGCAAAGAGATGACTGATGATTGTGTTCTACTGATTAATTTAGGTTCTACTTTCAAATTAGAAATTAAATATTGGTGGGGTTTTTAATGATCACTTAGAAATGTTTCTTATAACAAGTAGAGATTATGGACTTGGAAAAGGGGCTCTTTTTCATTTTGTTATGGAAAGCTACTCGTTTTGCTACACTTAGTTTGAGTACATATTGTGTTGGTTATGTTTTAGTGAGTTTTATTATCATTTCAGACTCTTTGTATGAGGTAGCAGTCAGTGAAGCACCCAAAGAAGAACAGGGTGGACAGGTAAGATCTGAGTTGAATGTTTCTTTTAAATTAAAAAAAAAAATAATAAAGGCTATTAAAGAAAGACTTTGGTTTGAACAAAGGTTCTTGATAATCTCCAATAGTAAAGGCAACAATGTGAGGTACCCTTTCTTCTTTCAGTCTCCATCTTCCATTGTGCCACCATCGGGGGAGGAGGACGACATGTTCAGGTCACGCCCAAGTTTATCCGCAAAAAGTGCAATCTTTGCTATAGCATCTGTCCATGCAACTGCTGATGGAACAAAATCTCCACTTCAAGCACCTGCAGATATTAAGTACCAGGAAAAAGAAGTAATATTTACTGAAGTAGATGTTCACCAGACAGATGAACCCCAAAACAGTTCTCATTTGAGTGACCAAAGCAATGTTAAACCAGTTGGTCAAAAAATTGATCAGCAAACAAATCCTGAACATGGACAAACTTCCAACCTTTTGGTGTCCCCTCACAAAAAAGTTAATGTACCTCAAAATCCAGATTCACGAGAATCTACTCCAGGTGCTGCTACAGAAATTGTTGATTCAGACCTCAGTGATGGGGACTATGGTGGGCACACAGCAAGGAGGGGCACCCTGACACAAGAGGACTTTGACAAAAGGGATGGGGATAGCAAGCATGTAACCAATAAAGAAATTTTAAGAGATATGAAGCATAAGAATTTATCTCAAACAGAAGAAAATGATGCAGAACTTAAACGACAGGGTAATTGTTATGAAGATATGCATAATGTGACCAGGCAGGCAAATTATTTTGGCAGCATGTATGGGGAATGCTCTGATGAAGATTCATCTGAGACAGAGACAGAGACTGAATCAGAATCTGACGAGGATGACAGAAAAGTTGAAGTGTTAATGCTTCACCGTCTGCCTGGTGAAAAATTGGGCATGGGACTTCATTTTGAAGATGCTCCAGATGAAAGCTCTTTAATAAAGGGGTGTTTGTGAAGAATGTGATACCAGGGGGTGCTGCTGAGCGGGCCTCAGGAAGTGAGAAAGGTTTATGCCCAGGAGATGAAATTTTACAAGTGAACGGACGATCTTTGAGAAACATGACTCATTCTGAAGCCATTACATACTTTCAAGAAATTCCATTGCGTGTTATGCTGACAATAAAACGTGGGGTAGAAAAACAATTCATCTCTAGTGAATCCGATGACATCTTAAAACCAGGCGATTCTGGGAGTGAATTCACAGAGAGTGACACAGAATCTGTTGATGCTCTCAGGATTGGCCACCGAGATTCTGACCTGTCATCTATTCAGTCCATGGAAGAGAATCAGTTCTATGATTCTGATGATGGAGCAGTTGAGGAAGGTTTGAAAATTCCCAAAGGCTATGTTCTACTCAGTATCAATGTCTACAGGGGGCCCAAAGACTGTCTAGGTATTAGTATTGTACCAAGTTATGGATCCACCAGAGAATACTGTCAGGTAGGGACCTCATTATTTGGCTTATTTAAAATGTGATAGGACTTTAGTGAGAGGATTACAACTGAAATTATACTTCAGGTGTAGGATAGACGACATGTTTCTCTTTTATTTGATAAATGTATTGACCATGACTACATGTAGTTATGACATTCAGTTTTAAATAAGTCAATTTGAAATTTTGTAAATTTTGTGATGATTCTATATTGAAATATATCTTAACTTTCATAAAAATAATAATGCATGTTTACTAAAGATAACTTTTCATCATCAAATGATGTTTTTGTCCTTAGGCATTATAGTTCCCATACAATACTTTCTATTATTTTTCCTGTAGTTGTTGTAAGAATGAGACTGTCTGACAACAATGGCCTGCCAAGGTAATTGTTGTCATAGGAAGTGGCACTAAGAAAGTTAACAGGTGTGAAGGTTTAGAAAGGGTACACATGATGGAAAAATATTGACACACTTGTGATTTCTTACTTCTGTTAACAGGTTAAAAGGGTCCTGCCTAGTGGTGTGTGTGCAGAGAAAGGTGAACTGAGAGAGGGGGATAGGCTGGTGTCATGCAACAGCATATCACTGAAAGGACTCACACAGTCAGAATGCATGGAGGCTCTCAATGATGCTTATGGTGAAGTCACCCTGAAAGTATTAAGGCAAGTCAATCTCGGTCCTTCAATGGACATCAATGTCACAATGACAACAAAAAACCCAGATACTTCAGAAAACGCAGGTGCAGAATCACATAAGAACTTGGAGGTGGTAGGAGCAGAAGACAGGTCCATAGATGCCTTGCAATTGGAAGACTTGTCACCAGCCATGCAGGATCAGCCACACCACAGTGTTGTCTTTGCTCAAACAAAGGTAAAGCTATCATTGTTGAAGGACAACTTTGGGAATGGAGAAAATGTGGAAGACGTCTCCACAGATTCGTCAAAATGTGATCTACATGATGACAGCCAGTTAAAGGTCCAGTCTACAAGTTGGAAAAAAGGGGCAGGTAGGGAAAGTATTCAAGGTACAAAAATGCTGTCAAGTGTTATTTACACCAGCCGTGATTCAGACAGTGATGAGGAAGTCAGAGAAGTGTTTGTAGCTCCTATCTTCATTACACCTTTTGGTGCAGCTGTGAAAGCAAAGCAAGGTGAAGACTGCCAAACTCCATTGCAAAAAGATTCTTATACATGTGTCACATCTGAACAGAATCAGGTCCCAGATGGAGAGAAAGGTGTCTTGGCAACAAATATTGATGACATTTTGGACATCAGCTCAGAGGATGAATCTCAGACTGAATGCATGCATTTAGGTAAGGAAGAAGATGACGAGGAATCACAAGATAAAACTTTGGTCAAAGATGCTAAGGATTATGATAAAAATGATCTCCCACAAAGTAACACCTATTATGATGATTTTGATAAAGAGCAAAGTAAAGAAACAATAGAAGACATTACAAAACTTGCTAATGCAGAAGAAGAAGATGTATTTGATACAATAGGTTCTCCTGTTCCTGGAACACTAACCCCAATATCTAACTTTCATCACAAACTCATCAGCCCTTTTGAGAGGCTTGAAAAGGAGTTTGATCTTGAAAATCTCACTCCATCATCCCACCACTCAGAGCAGGAAAGTCTAAAACCTGAGAGTGAAGTCATTATTACAAATACTGTATCACAAAAAAGAGATCCTGCTAGTGAAAAGGGGTTTCACAAGGGACAAGTATTCAAAACTATGGAAGAATTCTCAGATGACAGTAGTAGTTTGTATGATCACTTACTGGAAATGGAGCAGATGGACACTGAAGAAAGTGAAGTCGATGGACTTACGGATATTGGGGACAGAGTCATTGAAATGTCGGATGACTTCTCTCTTGAATCTCTCCCTCGTCACAGTCTTCCCCATTTTGAAGTAAGTGAGCCACTGACACTTAGTGAAGTCACAGAGGAAGATGAAACTGAAGAGTTGTCAAACTATGATGAGTTTGATTCAAGACATACTGCTGACAAACAGGGTGCTGGTTTGAAAGGAACAAACTGTTCAATGGCAAGTGATATAGCTTCCCCAGAGGAAGTAACTGCAACATCTGAGAGCAATAAACAAAAATCGTCCCCAAACAGCAAGAAAAGCATATTAGAACTAATAAAAGAACTTAAGCAACAGGATTATAACGAAGACCAAATACCTGTGGTAATAAATACTGACCAACCAACCCAAAAAGTGTCTACTGCCATGATTAGCAACATGACTGACTTGAATAATTCTACCTTTCTCCCTGAAAGTGCCACGGAAATAACTGCTGGATCTAATAGTGACAGTGACTCAGAAGACTATATCCCGCCACTTCCCAGTTCAGGTCCTCCTCCTGTTGAATTTATTGTAAATCCAAAAGAACAAGATCCACAAGTCTTGGAAATGATCTTCCCTCCCCCAGATTCTTTTAATGAAAAACCAGAGAGTGCATTGCATGATGCAAATGAACTATTAACTGGCCCAGATAATACATTTAATATAATTAATGCTAGTGATGATATAACATGCCAAAATTGGAATGTTGAAAATGAAGCAAGCAAATTTCGATTTCCTCTTTTGACAGAAATGTCTGTTGAGTCGCAAGAAGAAACCATTGAATTTTTTCATGAAGGGATGGAAAACAAATTTACAGAAGGTGACATCTTGGATTTTGACTCCGAAACTGAAAATCAGGACAAAACTGAATCTCATGACTACTCCAAGCAATGGGAAACCCTCTTACAAAAACAACAAGTGACAAACACAGAGCAACAAGATCAAACTGGGCCACAATTTAACTATGACTTAGACTTTGATTCCAAACTTTTCCACCCAGCCTCAATGACTAAAGAAGAGGTCATAGAACAAGCAGAGCAGCCACTAGTAGAAATGGCGTCTGCTTCAAATATGACAGATTCTGAGGAAGGCAAGGCTTCTGCACAACCAATTACTATGCCTCTGGTAAAGCCACTGCAACTGAAACGGCCACTGACTTTAAGTGGGTATTTAGCCCAGAGAAAATCACAGGAAGGAAGTTCTAAATGGCCAGAACAGCCATCTGATTCTGTAGTAAAATCTGACCCCAAGCCAGCTTTACTGAAAGCTAAGCCTCTCAGTTTTCAACCAACTTCTGGTGCAGCATCTGTCAGATCAACACCAGCTTGGACCACCTCTGCAAGAAAATGGAGTGAAAAGAGTGCCATCCAGCCAGTGGTATTCCAAAAAAGATCACCCGACCAAGCTTTTCAGATTGATGTCCTGAAAGGTAACAATCTTTAAAAACTTTCAGATTTATGATGTACTCTTAAAGAAATTCCCTTGTCTGAATATATAAACTGTTCAGTGAAATGTACTTAATGAAATTACTTTTGCCTTGATGTTGCTTTATAGCAGTATGTGTTTCTTGTATATGTAATCTGTACAACTGATGTAGGCTTTGCAGTTTTAAATTTCATATTGAGTAACCTTTAAGTACATATTTTTATCTGGCTTTATAATTATTGTCTCAAATTAGTAATCTCATTTAATTTACCAGCACTAAAATACTTTTGAAGTTTCTGAAAATGCCTGATGACTTTATAGAGTACTCAGCTGAAATATGGCTTCTAAAGTGTTTCTAAAACAGATTAGGGTTTTATGGCATGATTATTTAACAAAAAGCAAGAGTTATCATTTTCTGCCTGATAATTGTATAGATTTTTAGTTTAAAAATATGGGAAACTGTCAGTTATGCAGGGGTCATTTTGAATATATCTGAATTAAATAATTGATAAGACATTTAGTGATGCTTAGGAAAAGGTGTCTTTAAATTTGTTACAGTGAACTGTGTGAGTAAATTTTAAACTTTGTCTATTGTAGGAAATTATCCTAAAAGCAAGGCACTTAATGTGAGCATTGTATTTTTGAGTTTGAATTGATCCTGACATGTAGTTAACTTATCAGAGCAGTTGTGAGATTAGTGTGCTTTTGTGCCACATGTATACTTTCATATAAAAAAATTGTTTAGCAAAAACCATTGCTTTACAAATCTGTTACGCAGAAGCAGGTCTTTTTGTTTGTGACACTTGAACAAGTTGCTATAAAATGACTATGGATTGTGAATTGTTCAAAAAGACACTAAATATGGCATGTATTAATAAATTCAAATAAATAGTGTTTCATATCTTAACCATCTAAGTTTTTAAGACGTCAGTGAACTGAATAACTTGTACTTGAAGTGGCATGTTTGAAAGCATCCTGATACTTATCAGTATTTTCGTGCAGATCTAAGCATGGTGTGTGTCAAAATACTGCCTCAAAGAAAAACAAAATTTGATGCACATGTATTAGTGTTATATATCAAAATATTATCTCTCTCAAAAAAGAAAAAAAAAAAAAAAAAAAACGCACACTCACACACACACAAAGTGGCAGAAGGTATTTAAGAATCACTTCAATTGAGAGAGGTATCAATTTTTTTCTGGAATGAGATTACATTCTCTCCACGGAAGTCACGAATGCCTTGCATTTTTCTTCTGCATTGTTATCAGTTGAAGTGTATAAAAGAGAGAAGTACACAGCCGGGGACAGGTGGGGTGAAGTGAACTATGTGACAGCTTCATAATATGGTTAGAATTGCTTCCTTTGAATTAAGCTTACCTCATCCAGTTTAAGATAGTGCAACTTAACTTGAAGGGAAAACCAGCATCATGGTGTTTTTATTCTCGACTATAATACCTTTGTGGATAATTTTTATGGTTTATGGTTTATGCATACTCTTGGTAAACGCGTAGTCACTCTGCCCTTGGGACATTGACACATGAATCTATGGGAATATGACAATTGTATCTCCATATTGAGAGAATTATTATACATAGACAGCAGGTAGGGTTTTATGGCATTGGTGTAGTAGCTAGGTCATGCATATTATTATGGAGGTAAGCTTTTTGTGATAATTTTTAAGATCAATAACAAATGTATTGTGCAAAGTAGGATGGCTGATGAATGTTGCAGATGTTATCAATCAAATTCCTTTTTTGCTATTGGAATAACAATCTTACCGTACAAACATGTCAGTATAATAAGTTTCACATCAAATATCAGAGTTGGGTCATGCTGTTTTGGTGAAAACTGAGGGCTTATGGCGACACATTTAAGGTAGATATGATATCATATGTGCAATATATTAGCAAGAGACAGAGATCAAGTAAGGTTTACTCAAGGTCTGCTTCGTTTAATGAATATTTCATTTAGGAAAGGACATTTTGAAATATAACAGGATATGTTAACTTAAGATAGGTGGATGGTTGATGTAAAAAGGAATCATTTGGAATAAAATTTAATGTAATCACAAGAGCTGTAGTGTAGATTGACCAGCAGCTGTATTTATAAATTATGGAAATTTCTGTAAAAATGCTTGACATTTGTGTACCAGGAAGTGCATCAAGGTTTGGCAGTTTGATGTGAATATAGGATAAGGGTTTTTTTATCTAGTGAAAGAGTTGGATAATTGACTTTCATATTAAAGATTAGTATGGTTAACAAACTATCAAAGATTGAAAAATGTATATCAAAGAGAACTGAGAAATATGTTGACTTAGCAGCCTGGAATTGAACTTAAGCGAAGAAGTTCACTTAATATACTTGTAATCTTGCTACAGAAAATAGATTTGATAATGATTGGAGATACGGTGACAAATTATGCTGAATAACCCCTAAGGTGTTCAAGCACTTTTTTAAGCCACGTTTAACCCTTGCTCAATAGTATATGTAAGTTGGCCTGAATAGCATAGGATTGGTCTAGACTCTGACAGATGCCATTTTTCTTTCAGGTATTCTTGGATTAGGACTGAAAGTAGAAGTCAACCCAGACGGTAAAGCTGTGGTTACTGAAATTCAGAAAACAGGACCTATTGGAAAAAATGGACAGATAAGGTGAGTTTAACCTTGAGACTGCTGTTCTTCCTTTTTCTGACATCAAGGGAGAACAGCCTTTTTACTTCCACTCTGTTAGAACTAAAATGAACATCCACATAAAATTGGACATAAACACTTAGTAGCACTTCTAGTAGATTATATAACTAGTGATAGCAAGGTGTTTTTATGTTGTGTAAATATCTTACACATATAGTTCTGTGCAGATTTACACAATTTATTCATTTATATATTTGCATATAAAGAACTGTCAATAAATCATATTATCATAAGTGGAATAAGATTGGGACATATGATTGATGGTTTCACATTACTAGTATTCAAAAGTAAACTGACACTTCTTGCTGTTTTGTTGTACTTGTGAAGTTGTTGAAAGAATTTTACTCGTGTTTAGCAGTCAAACCTAGTATGTATTGGGATTGTATTGCATATTGGGATGGAAGTTAGACAGCATGTTTTTAATGTTGACTAAAGTATAAAGGGATATTTAGAAAAAGAAGATTAGTTTGAGTTTAAGAACCTGTGATTAGTACATTGCGTTTCAGCATCACTATCAAATACATTTAGTTTTATATTCTGTTTCATGCAATTTAAGGCATGACACAATGCATAGAAGATATGTGTTTTGGTTTCAATTTATAAATAAAATCACCTATATTGTGAAAGTTATACAATTAAATGATTAACTTTTTAGTCTCTGTTTTAGTCTCTCTCTGATGAAATACTTTGACATTATATAATAATATTGCTTTATGTATTGTTTTTTAGTAGGCTTTTGAACTATGATATTTTGTGACTGTCCATTTCAGAACTGGGGACATTTTACTGTCAGTGAATGGTCAAAGCACTGCTGGACAGTCGACTACAAAGCTAGAGCAGTTGTTAAAGTTCTTGCCCAGAGGGATCATTCGTCTTGTATTCTTAGCTGCCAAAGCAGAAGAAGGTATGTGTAATTGATATGATAGGGGTGGCAGCTATATTATACTACTATAGGACATATACTTCATGATAATTTATGGTGTAGTTTGTGCTGATTCTCGCCTCAAGGCAAGTTTTCTTTATATGGGATATCCTGAAAAAAAATGGGTATTTCAGTACTAGCGACCACCTGTTTACTGAGGAACACCATAATATTCATGTGGTATATTTTGATGGTCCATAACAGGAATCATCACCATTTGTAGTAGATCCCGAAATTGTTTTTCAAGAGGAGCATATAACAAATTGGAATTTACTTTCAGGGTCTATAAACACTACATCTGAAGTTGAACTAAAAGTGCCAGTTGGCCATCAAGATAAAGAGCAGTTGTCTACAAGGACAGAATCCACTTCCCCTCTAGGAGTTAAAACAGACATAACACAGCAAGCAGGGAGCACAGTTCCATCTCACAAACCCATAGTGCTGCAGAAAAAGGAAAAATTCTCAGAGAACAAGGAGCACGTGAGGAACATATCGCCAACAAAAGAAAATTCCTCAACAACTTTGCAAAAGTTACTGGAAAGGCAGTCCCCATTAGGGAAACAGTATGTTCACAAGTCATTATCAGATTCTAGTAGCGTGAGTAGTTCTGATACTTCAGAAAGCCCTGTTCCAGAATATCCAAGATTGCCACCAGAGGGCGAAGAAGGGCCTACTTTCTACAAGACAAGTCCAAGGCAGGAGGTATCACCAAAACAAGAGCACAAACCATTTACCCAGATACTGTACAGTCCAGTGAAATCACCCAGCAAAAGTCCAGAAAAAAGCCCAAACCATATAAAAAGTTTGTCACCAAGTTTTGACAGGTTGCAAGCTTTTGTGGATAAACAGCTGAAAACTGAAAACATAACCAATTCAGAGGATTCCATTACTTGCAACAATACTGAGTCAGGTGAAGCCAAAAAGAAAACTGGACCATTTACAACACTTTATGAAGATACCCCTGAATTGCCCAGAAAAATAGTGCAACATTCTTCTGAAAATCTGAAATCCCAAAGTCAACCATCAGATAAATCAGGCAGTACATCCCAGCAGAAGGGGGCAGTTGCGGACATACCTGCAGCTAAAAGAAAAGAAGAACCAACTGTTATTCCAGAAAAAACAGGAACTAAAGAATCCCATAATACTTCAACCATGCCCATTTTAAAGCCACTGAAAAAGTTTACTCCATTTCCATCACATAAAGAAGGCAAGCAGACAGCTGATAAAAATGGACATGGACATAATTCCCATGTTGACAAGCCAAGCCAACAGACTTCTGCTGGAAATAATGAATTTAAGACTGAGCGCACTCCTGTCCTTTTGAGTTATCAAAAATCTCCACCAACATCCAGAGAGAGTTCAGATTCACCTCCTCCTCTGCCTATGTCCTCACCGCCCCTTCCATCTTGTCCACCCCCTGCATTGGAAACTACTGACTATCCCACACAAATGGAGTCTTCAGATGAATCGGAAGACGAATCAAAAATTTTCTTCATTGGAAGTAGACCCAACAGTATTATCGAAACAGACAGTTTCGCAAGTTCTAAGGTTTTACCTGGAGTTCCTCTGGTGGATGTAGAAACAAATCTTGATGATCAGTTTCCAACCATGGTAAAATCTGATGTGGATCTGAGCAGAAAAGGGAGCACAATATCGAGACTGGCTCTGCTGTCACCAAGCAGTAGCTACAGTGACAGTCTTAGCATGAATACAGCTAGGAGTAAAAGAAGCTGGTCTATTGCATCAAACTTGAGTGAGTATGATCTGGCCTCTGTGTCCCAGCAAGGCGATCCCATGAGAAGATCTCCATCTAATTTATCTGATGTGTCCATCTGTAGTCAGATTCCAGCAGAAGAACTGCAGTCGCTACTGGAAGATGCCAACCAGTCCTTGGATGAGGCAGGAGCCCCTGATGACAACCACATCATTGTGTGTGTGTTACACAGGGAGATAGGGCAGCTGCTGGGTGTCCAGTTAACTGCTGTAGATGGAGCTGGAGGACTGTTGGTGAGTTGATGGGAAAAACTCGGGGGGATATCTTTTTTTCCTACCATTTAGGATGTTTTCACTTAATAGGAAACTTGTGGTTTTTCTTTTTTTTTTTTTTGGGCATTCTTTTATCTCTGATAACTTAAGTACTTATCCCTAACATAGAAGTAGAAATAGTGTTGTATACCCCACCAGGAGGTATTACAGTTTGTAACTTGCTATTGTTTATCAAGTTGCCCATTCAGTGAACATACGTATTCAAGAATTTTTTTATATCTTAATGCTTTGTATAAAATAAAATACTCCTGAATATATCTCCCTGATTGTTTTGCCGTATGCAGGTGGATCATGTAACTCCACACAGTCTTGCTGATGAAGATGGCCGCATTCAGAAAGGTGATCATTTACTGTCCATAAGTGGCAAACGCTTAATCAATGTTGGTGTCACAGAAGCACAGCGCCTATTACGCACCCACAAGCAGCCATTGGTATTGGTCCTTTCCAGAACAGGAGAAGATTTTAAAGGGGAGTTGGATAATACGATGGAAGTTAAAAAAGAGGGTAAATATTTGATGTTTATCACTGTACCTTTTATTTTATCATAGTGCATTTTAGCAAAATGGGGAATATGTGGAGTTCATTACTAGCTTTTAAGATAAATAATTGTCTGAATCTATCCTCATATATCAGAACAGATTTTAGTTATTTACACGGTCTCAAAACAGAAATGGTAACACATTTCTGATAATCACTAATAATCTGTTTTAGAAATTCTGAAAGCAAATTTTATTTAAATGTCTGATTCTGTGAATTATTATTATTATTGATCTTTTCCGTTCTGCTTTTGCTTTAAAAATTGATGCACTTTGCTTGAATTATTCATATCTTCTGCTGATGCCTTTAAATGCATGTTCAGTTTATCTGATGATTTCATGAAGGTATCCTCTTTATATTGTGGCATATTTTGTCCTTTTGGATTAAGAGATATGATTTGGATTAAGAATCATGGTGGTTCCAAATTCTATTCTCAGTCATTTTAAGTAGACCTCGTCTTCAACTGTACATTATGAAGAGGATCAGTACATTTTTGCTTCTTGGTTTATTTTATACGTTTTATTTTGTTTCATTCAGAGCCTGGGTTGTCAGATAGCTTGATTGAAGTTGAAATGACCAAAGGTGTTACTGGCTTGGGCTTCTGTTTAGAGGGTGGCAAAGATTCCCCATTGGGGGATAGGCCAATCACTGTAAAAAGGATTTTCAAAGGTACAATAACCTTAATAAACAAACAAACAAACAAACAAACAAAAAAAAAACTGCCAAATTATTTACAATTCAATAGAAACTTATATTCTTTTTATAAATAGATCAGTTTATGTTACAGATTAAGAAAAAAACTTTTACATTGGGATTTTACTTATGCTAAAGTGTGGTATGAAATACATTTATTTTTGTATGTAGGGCCTAAACATTTACACCCCTTTTAGATGTTATGTATGGATTAAGCATAATATATTCCATTCTTTTAGAAAAAATTAAATAATTTTATTATGTAACAACAAATGACATGAAAGTGTGGCTGTTGAAAGACAGTCTTGGCTTTGCATGTTTGGGTCTTAATGTATTATACCATGATAAGGAATTAGCTATTACATTGAATATACCTTTACTGGTGAATATTTTGTTAATTTCTTGTTTTTTTTTTTTTGTATATTTTTTAAAGTTTTTAGAACTTTCTTATAATATTAAAATTTTTTTTTTAAATATTTATGCAGGAAAGAGATGGCTTCTGTGTTTGTTGTTGAAATGTTGCAGATAACTTCAGATAAAGCTAATGTACTGTCATTGATTTCAGGTGGATCAGCTGAGAGAAGTGGAGTTCTTAGGACAGGTGATGAATTGAGGACAATCAATGGCAAAAACTTGACTAAAATGACACATTATCAAGCGTGGAATATGCTCAAGTCCTTACCAGAAGGAAAGGTCACCTTACAAATCAAAAGAAAATGAATACAAAGTTAATGAGAAGGCACATTCTCAACATCCCACATGGTTCACAGAGTTGTGGTGTATTTAGAACACATGCATGATGCTTCTTTACAATAGTGGACCTATTTATGTATGTATGCACATCAGTGAGAGTATAGTAGTTGTTAAAAAACGTCTATCTGCACAAGCTGTACACAGTGCAAAAGTCCTTATGACACAATGAGCCAATGAATGTAATGTTAATTTTTTTCTACTGCTACACTATTTGTGACACTTTTGGAATGTTTTATAACCATAATAACATGATAAACAAATAACTTGGATGTTCTTAGATGTTTGGAAAGCCCTTTTTTCATATTGTGTTGAACTGCACTGAACTGGGCTGATTTTATATCAACTAATATTAAATGTGGAACACATGTAATAGAAGTTAGCTCTTCAAAATGATATATTTAGATTTTATCATTCCAAAAGTCTTAAGTTACATTGTAGAATATTGACTTCATAACACATTCAATATGTTGACATGTTGAAGAAAAAAGAAAACTAAAAGCACCTCTATTCTTTTACTGTATCAAATACCCATTTGTTACAGTTAATCTTTTTTTGTACTATTTATTTTTTATTGGCTCAATTAAGTGTAGGCTGACCTGTTGTGAGCAAATGATGGTGTATAAAACCATCCATTCTGGCTTCAGTTTGTAATTGTAATAAGATTTAAGACAACCTTTTGCCTTTACTTTGTGGAAGCCATAAGATGACTGCAAAGGAGTATTCAGTGATATTGCTAAGATTGTGGTTGTGGATATAATGTTATTGGAATGCTAGCAGAAAAATTGTTCCTACAAGTCTTGTAAAGCTGAACAACAGCAGCAACATTGAAATATATTGTGCATATTAAGTTTATCTCCTTCATGTACATGATTATAAAGACTAAAGTTTTAACATTTTTGGGGCCTTTATGAGCACCTGCTGTATGTATGCAGTAGCAGAGAAACATGCTACAACAGTCACTGTGGTAATTTTTAGCTGTCTGAAGATTTCTCATATATTATTCTTTTATTCTGTTGAGTGATATGTTGGAGTAATGAAAGTGGTATATAAAGGTTTTACAATATATCAGTCAGTTCTTGTTATCGTTTACAAAATTTCATTGTGTAAGAAAAGTAACTGCTTTCACATGTGCACATTTCATTAAATATATTTATCCAAGCCAACTGACAATATGTTTGGAGGCAAAAAGCTAACATTTACGTATATCCATGTTAATGATTAAAATTCATCGAGTTTTTCATTTTTTGTACAGGGCTGTTGTCGTTATATTGTTATCAAACTAGATGTTACAGTTTGCAAAATAATATTACCAGCCTAATGTCAAGCCTTTTACTTAAAGCAGCATTTAAGCTGGGCAGAAACTAATTTATTTTATTTAATAAATTTGTTAGAAAATTTCTATGCATCTTGTTATGTGTTTACCATAGCTATAATACTTTTGTTTTATTGCCACATAGGCCACTATTCTAGCAGTGAATATCTCTAACTTGTAATCTGACAATTTTTTAACCGTTCTCATGAACTAATAGATTTCCTTTAAAAAAAAGTTTACTGGATTTTGGCAAAGAAAAAGATCATATATTTTCTGGTATGCACAGCTAATTTTAGTGCAAATATTTTTGAGAATTGTGTTAGATACATATGCACATCTAGGTTCTCTAAAGTGAAAATTGAGATTCTCATGATCAACAGTTGAGTGCCAAGGCACTGTCTCTTTCTGTATAACATATGAAATGCAACGTGACAACATTGTCTAGGTTAAAATTACACAAGGAAGCAAAATGTCTTGAAAGCATAAGTAAAAAAGATTCCTCTGTTTGATAATCCCATTCTGAATTTATCTTTTCTCATTTTGCTATTTAAAAAGATTGAAAGGTATCAAATGAGGATGATTTTTAAAATTTTTGGTAAATTTAAGTTAGCATTGAGCTGTCTATTGGTGAATTTAATGAAGTGCCATGTATACATTGCCCTCATTAAGTGTGACTGCTTTTTCCACAAAAAAAGTGCAGCATTTGGAATCTCTGCTCATCAAAATTTACTTTCATTTTACATTTTTATTTCAATTATCATTCTGAATATCTTGGTATATCACAATAAAAAGACCAAATAAGTTTTGTTATACATTGGGACCTTATCTTCAAATAGATATTTCATGAAATTGAATAAATAACACCCAGTGCAATTATAGAAGACCTTGTCACATTTTATGTAATTTTAATTGTCTTATGCATGGCAGTTGTCGTGAGCCAATGACAATAGCTTACGTGATGTCAATAGAGGAGACAATGCAATGAAAAGGCCAATAGCAAAGTGATACAATTCCTTTGATTGACAAAGCGGCTGGAATAATGAAGTTTTCAATAATGAAACATTATCAAGCATCATAGAAGAAGGTAATCCTAGGATATCTACACAAGTTAACACAACTGGACTAATTTTTGTTCTAAACAATAAACAGCAAAAAAAANTTTTTTTTGTATATTTTTTTAAGTTTTTAGAACTTTCTTATAATATTAAAAAAATTTTTTTAAATATTTATGCAGGAAAGAGATGGCTTCTGTGTTTGTTGTTGAAATGTTGCAGATAACTTCAGATAAAGCTAATATACCGTCATTGATTTCAGGTGGATCAGCTGAGAGAAGTGGAGTTCTTAGGACAGGTGATGAATTGAGGACAATCAATGGCAAAAACTTGACTAAAATGACACATTATCAAGCATGGAATATGCTCAAGTCCTTACCAGAAGGAACGGTCACCTTACAAATCAAAAGAAAATGAATACAAAGTTAATGAGAAGGCACATTCTCAACATCCCACATGGTTCACAGAGTTGTGGTGTATTTAGAACACATGCATGATGCTTCTTTACAATAGTGGACCTATTTATGTATGTATGCACATCAGTGAGAGTATAGTAGTTGTTAAAAAACGTCTATCTGCACAAGCTGTACACAGTGCAAAAGTCCTTATGACACAATGAGCCAATGAATGTAATGTTAATTTTTTTCTACTGCTACACTTTTTGTGACACTTGGAATGTTTTATAACCATAATAACATGATAAACAAATAACTTAGATGTTCTTAGATGTTTGGAAAGCCCTTTTTTCATATTGTGTTGAACTGCACTGAACTGGGCTGATTTTATATCAACTAATATTAAATTTGGAACACATGTAATAGAAGTTAGCTCTTCAAAGTGATATATTTAGATTTTATCATTCCAAAAGTCTTAAGTTACATTGTAGAATATTGACTTCATAACACATTCAATATGTTGACATGTTGAAGAAAAAAGAAAACTAAAAGCACCTCTATTCTTTTACTGTATCAAATACCCATTTGTTACAGTTAATCTTTTTTTGTACTATTTATTTTTTATTGGCTCAATTAAGTGTAGGCTGACCTGTTGTGAGCAAATGATGGTGTATAAAACCATCCATTCTGGCTTCAGTTTGTAATTGTAATAAATTTAAGACAACCTTTTGCCTTTTCTTTGTGGAAGCCATAAGATGGCTGCAAAGGAGTATTCAGTGATATTGCTAAGATTGTGGTTGTGGGTAAAATGTTATTGGAATGCTAGCAGAAAAATTGTTCCTACAAGTCTTGTAAACCTGAACTGGTTTAACAGCAACATTGAAATATATTGTGCATATTAAGTTTATCTCCTTAATGTACATGATTATAAAGACTAAAGTTTTAACATTTTTGGGCCTTTATGAGCACCTGCTGTAAGTATGCAGTAGCAGAGAAACATGCTACAACAGTCACTGTGGTAATTTTTAGCTGTCTGAAGATTTCTCATATATTATTCTTTTATTCTGTTGAGTGATATGTTGGAGTAATGAAAGTGGTATATAAAGGTTTTACAATATATCAGTCAGTTCTTGTTATCGTTTACAAAATTTCATTGTGTAAGAAAAGTAACTGCTTTCACATGTGCACATTTCATTAAATATATTTATCCAAGCCAACTGACAATATGTTTGGAGGCAAAAAGTTCACATTTACGTATATCCATGTTAATGATTAAAATTCATCGAGTTTTTCATTTTTTGTACAGGGCTGTTGTCGTTATATTGTTATCAAACTAGATGTTACAGTTTGCAAAATAATATATCCAGCCTAATGTCAAGCCTTTTACTTAAAGCAGCATTTAAGCTGGGCAGAAACTAATTTATTTTATTTAATAAATTTGTTAGAAAATTTATATGCATCCTGTTATGTGTTTACCATAGCTATAATACTTTTGTTTTATTGCCGCATAGGCCACTATTCTAGCAGTGAATATCTCTAACTTGTAATCTGACAATTTTTTAACCATTCTCATGAACTAATAGATTTCCTTTAAAAGAAAGTTTACTGGATTTTGGCAAAGAAAAAGATCATATATTTTCTGGTATGCACAGCTAATTTTAGTGCAAATATTTTTGAGAATTGTGTTAGATACATATGCACATCTAGGTTCTCTAAAGTGAAAATTGAGATTCTCATGATCAACAGTTGAGTGCCAAGGCATTGTCTCTTTCTGTATAACATATGAAATGCAACGTGACAACATTGTCTAGGTTAAAATTACACAAGGAAGCAAAATGTCTTGAAAGCATAAGTAAAAAAGATTCTTCTGTTTGATAATCGCATTCTGAATTTATCTTTTCTCATTTTGCTATTTAAAAAGATTGAAAGGTATCAAATGAGGATGATTTTTAAAATTTATGGTAATTTTAAGTTAGCATTGAGCTGTCTATTGGTGAATTTAATGAAGTGCCATGTATACATTGCCCTCATTAAGTGTGACTGCTTTTTCCACAAAAAAAGTCTGCAGCATTTGGAATCTCTGCTCATCAAAATTTACTTTCATTTTACATTTTTATTTCAATTATCATTCTGAATATCTTTGTATATCACAATAAAAAGACCAAATAAGTTTTGTTAAACATTGGGACCTTATCTTCAAATAGATATTTCATGAAATTGAATAAATAACACCCAGTGCAATTATAGAAGACCTTGTCACATTTTATATAATTTTAATTGTCTTATGAGATCTGTCCCATGCATAGCAGTTGTCGTGAGCCAATGACAATAGCTTACATGATGTCAATAGAGGAGACAATGCAATGAAAAGGCCAATAGCAAAGTGATATAATTCCTTTGATAGACAAAGCGGCTGGAAGAATGGAAGTTTTCAATAATGAAACATTATCAAGCATCATAGAAGAAGGTAATCCTAGGATATCTGCACAAGTTAACACAACTGGACTAATTTTTGTTCTAAACAATAAACAGCAAAAAAAAAAAAAAAAAAGAGGGTACTGTTTTGACATGGTTCTCAATGATGGCAAAAAGAAGTTGACAAGTAATATTTTCTCTCATGTCAAAATGATCTTTTAGAGTTGGCCTGTGTCCTGTTCCCATTCTATTCAAGGCTGGATCCCTAAAATGAAGAAGGTTCTGAAACACCTTGTGCCTGGTAACAGTAGATTTATAATTACATGTCAAGCCACCCCTAGATCCACATAATATGTTAATCATACTTGAACTATTTTAATGTGCGGTATATTACCATGGTAAGCAACATGCTTCTAAAGAAAAAAAATTGGCTTTAAGTCAAAGTTTGATGGTCAATGAGCTGGTTTTCAAATTTGACTTGAATGTTTGTTCACAAGGTTCTTATCACACATAACAATGAACTCAGTTCCCATCTGCAATGAAAAATTATGAGTATGATGCCAAATTACACAGGTAAAGACAACTAGGGACTGAAATTGTTTTATTTCCCATGATTGCTATTGTAACAATAAACTACCAAATATACCTTGCAAGCCTTAGTCTTTTTACTTCCGCCCTCATGAGCCCACTAAATTAAATGAAGGCTCATGACCATTACAATTCATCGTCCAGGTAAAGGTTAACCCATCATTATCCAACTGCTTCTATCAAGCATGCAAACAAGAGATGAGCAAAGGATCTGTCAGTAAGAAATTCCAGCAAAAATGGTAAACAGAGATAAGGCTGTAGAAATTCTAGTTATTAGGAACAGATTGCATGTGACCAGGTTCAGCTAAATCTATAGACAAGAAACAACTGGCTTCAGATGGATTTATGAAACCAGGTCCAAAATTCAAATCTTTACCCAAACTTGTTACGTAAAGATGTGTAAAGGCACAAGTTTCCAGTTTAGTTTTCCTTGTAACATGACTTTCCCCCAAGGATGATGTAGACAAAAACAGGTGGTTAGATGATCTATATGATTTCATCAAAATAATAATAAAAGAAATTATAATAAATATACATTCCAGCCAAAAAGTTCCCTATTAGAGCAGCACTGAACTTTGTGAATAATGGTCACCATATAAGAACTGATAGAAATTATGGGATATTCATAAAGGAAAAACTTTGTTTTGAATGGGGTGATGCAACTTCCTGCATTAATGTCCATTGCTAATCTAGTAGTAAGGACGATTTACATATCCCTCGTCATCTAATTCAGTTTTAGGCCTAAAATTATGCTCGATTTTATCACATAAACACATGGTACCCTGTAAAACCCATCTTTATTTCCCCAATATGTATAAGCCATGGCTATTTACAAAAAGAACATCACTTTGTATGTCCACTATATTGTAATGTGTGACTCTCCTCTGTCATACATTACTACACACAGAATCTGCATATTAACAAATCGAATTTTCTTTTAAACTAGTCCAGAATTGCACCAACTGTAGCTACAAAATCATCATTTATCTTCGCTTGATATTCTGGCTCATATAAATCTTTTTAATTTAGCATAAAACAAATGCAGTTTGAATAAATGATAAAACAGTGGAAACTGAGATGCACTCAGCTAAATAAGAAACATGCATCAAATTTTGTTCTTGCTTTCCATATTAAATGCATCCAAAACATTAACCACAGGCACATTTAATCACACTTCACCTGGACACCTCTTGGTTGTTAATCTACACAATTCAGACAGTAAATCAAATAGATTCACTGGGAAGTTTATTTGCGAACAATTTAGAGCATTTTAACGAGGAATGTTTTAATTACTTGAGGTGACATGTCAATGCCACACTTACATGGTTCATAATGAAGCTACTAAACAAGGACAAATTGCATTCTGGTTAAACTTGAAACATTAGAAAAGTAATGATGTAATTCAGTAGAAGAAAGAGACCCATTTACAAGTTTACATCAACTATAAAAGAAATAATATGTATAAACAATTGCTAAAAATACCACCATCTTGTCGTAGAATTAAAGTTTACATCTTCAGAAAACAAAATATCAAATCTTCGGTCTAGTGCTATACTAAATGTAGTATGAATACTTATTCCCCATGAAAGAAATAAAATTGACAAAGGTGAAATTTGTCGCCTGTATATATCAAAGTCAGTCAGTCTGACTGACAGAGAATAAAATCCCATATCGTACAGAATAACTTGTCAGATAGCTGGGTACCTCCACACATTTATAAAGATAAGATAAATTCTGTAGCTATCATTCTGTCCAGCAGTGACATCCTCACCAAAACATAAAATAGTCCATTATTCAGTGTACCCCTCACTGGCATAAACAAACATATAGTATTGACAAACACCACATGAACTCCTTTTGTCGTACTAAAGAAAATCCCAAGCATTATATATTTGTCTTATGTTATATCCCTTTGGTCTCTCCACAATAGACAGGCACCCTGACAAGTATGACTGTTAAAAGTTCACTTGGTAAAAGCTGATATAACTGCCCACATTAGTTCATTTGTGCCTTCATTCATGCTTTCTTTTTCAAAATCCAAGTCCAACAAATCACGCACTCTTTTCATGGCAACCTCATAATCATCATCTGACAAAGGTGCAAATGCATTCTCCAGGACATCTGAAGAGTGTGCAAGATATATAAGTGACAAAACTCTCTTGTCCATGCGCTGTGGGTCATTGGTCCAGCGACTGAGAACTGAATCTTGCACTCTCTTAATTAACTTCTGTTTGATTACAGAATCTGTAAGGGGGTGTGTGGTCATGTCGAAGAGGAGGAAATTCTGTTTCTCTGTAGAACAAACTCCCTTTTCCACTAGATTCTTTGCAAGTCTTTCACGGACATTTCTCAGCTGATACTTAAGCTTTAAAGGATTCCATGTCTCACCTGGAATGGCAATAGGACATTAGAAATACAGCAAAAATGCAACACAAAATGTATATACATAATTTATCTACCAGCATCAGTTGGTTGTATGTTAATGCAGTATATGCATGTATATATCTACATATATATATCCACATATATATAAAAGTGACAAGCAGACATATAAATGTTAATTTTAAATCCAGAATAAAAAGAACCCAATCTACGACACTTACTACAATCATTCATAGTATGAAGTAGACCTCACAAATTGCATCATGTGAAAGTATTGAATATTTGTCAGCATGCAGAATGCCATGTCAAGATAAAATGAATAATGTATTAGTCAATAACACAAATCAAATGACTTAGACGTACCACTTAAGTATTCTATCCAACTTTGCACATTTTCTGGAGGGTTGGTTTCTTTGATGTGCTTTAAAGCCTCGTCCAACAAAACATCTCCAGTAGGTGTATCACTTTTGTATATAACTTTTCTAGTCCCTAAGCTACGACGCCGCATCCCAGTTTGTTCAAGCTGTATTCTTCCTCTTAAAGCAAGTTCGATGAGAATACATCCTCTCAATCCTGATGAAATACAATCATTCCAAAAAGATGTGTATCCCTAAAGATTAAAAAAGATAAATAAAATTGTTAAAATACATGATTAATTTATCATTTTTCATTGATACTACTGGCAGCACCTGCAGAAAGGAAAAAAAAACCAGTGGACACTGCGTGTTTCATCTACGGAACTTTTCCTTACTCTGTTATTATTTCTGCTTTTGGTAACAATCTCCCGAGTTGATTCATTCTGGAAATGGATACCCAATGCTATTTCACATATAAATGAATGGGATCGTGTGTAAAAATGGTAGAATTATTATAATATTACCTATTAGTCTGAGCTACATTTATTAATTCTTTTTCTGATCGTACTGACGGGTATCTCAAACATTCAAAACTAAAAAGTCAATCGCGTTCGTTAATTCTTTGTATCCCGAGCATCTGTTACCTCTCTGTCTTTTAATCCAAGTAGTAGCACTTCTTCCATTAAAGTCAGTCTCGCTTCTTTTGAATCGTGGTCGTCTTCCTCCTCCTCATTTTTTCGCACTTTTTCTACATCATCCCGTGATTCACTGCCGCCACCCTCTGCACCGGAGGAGGCGACGTTTCGTCGCTGGACTAGGCCAGTAGACCTCTGGACTAATGTTGACATTGCATATAATCACAGACGTTGCAAATGAGTCTCTAAACTAAAGGGGAAAAATAACAGATACTTATCCAAACACGTCCAATATGGCCGTCGCAAATCTTCTGACGTCAGCAGCCGGAAATTTTGGGCGATAATCATGACGAACCGTACTGTGCTAAATAAGATAGATTCGGCTTTAGCGTTGTTTGTTTCTAGAAACTGTATGAATTTAAAATATGTAATATAAAGTATTTTATTTTATGAGGTGTATATGAAACTACCCAAAATAATATATATATTAAGGTAATAATCTACAAAGATTTCATGACTTTGTGATACTCATGCATCACCTCCAGCCAATGGTTACCCAAAATAATACGTATGCGCGAGTCTTGTGTATTTACATTAAGTCGCTATTGACAACAGAACAGAGCAAGTGCACATTTTGCCGTGGAGAAGCACATTTTAAAAGTTCCACACGAAATCCGAAGGAAATCAAGATATTAAAGAGACCAGGGACAAAATGAGCGTTCGAACTTACAATCCTTCTGTTAGAGTAGGCAACTGGAATGAGGATATACAGTTGGAAGAGGTATGGACATTTGAAAAAGTTCTTCATTGATTCACTGTACATGTACATGTACGTCCACCATTTCCAGTTTTACTATTTTTAGGGTACCTGTGAATGTGTGAGGCATGTGGATTTTGAGATTTTATATTATAATATTTAAGGAACAGTGTATTTCTTTTCTTTTGTCATTTTTTGCAGGAATGGTATTTTAATATCATCCCTTGTAATAAAATTGTATTAAAATACAAGAGTGCATTTCTGTCTATACATGCAGCTCTAAATACTAGTAGTACTGGCACAGTATGAGCACTGATAGATAGCTAGTTCATTTATGAATAAACAGTAAGAAACAGTTGATTTATTAGCCATTATTTAATAGCCAGATTAAATAATGGCTAATTTAACCAGGTTTGTGGCTTATCGGAGAGATTTAGTAAATACACATGAAACTTTAATTTCTAAATGAGTATATGGATTCTAAACTTCGTACATACTCTCCAATTTCAGTTTAAATATGCATATAGGTGAAGCACATGTGCTTTAATTTTATTCATTTAATTCCAGGATACACTGAAAGATTTCCTAGAAAAACGCGCTAAAGGTGAATTACTTATCCAAAAGACACACCGATTGTATGAAAACATTCTCAAAAAGGTAATATAATTTATTGATGTTATGATAAGAAAATGGTATATAATTATTTTTTCACTTGTTATCTTAACAAAAATAATCTAATAAAGCATCCCTGAAACACATATCTTGTAATTTAACAAAAAGTGTAGAATTCATGGTGAACTTTGATATATTATCATGTTGAATGAGAAAACATTAGTTTAACAAGAAATATGTCATATAATATTATTTCACAATAATAATAATAATAATAATAATATATATATATATATATATATATATATATATAGAGAGAGAGAGAGAGAGAGAGAGAGAGAGAGAGAGAGAGAGAGAGAGATCTACATTTTTAATTTATATATTATAGATCTACATTTTCTTTATATATTCTCTATATCTTCCAGGTTGATCTAAGCATTTCAAGAGATGGATTTGTCCATTTCGGAGATGTGGTCATGATAATGAACAAAGGAGCTGAAGACAAAACCAAGTACTCTTCTGGAGTTGATCCTAGAGGAGATTCTGCAATTTGTGCCAATATGTCTGAAAGCAAGATGTATGAAGCCAACAAGATTGAAGGGCCATGTGGTGTGTCAGGGTCTAGAATGTTGGAACCTTGTGTCAGAAATGCATTTGTCATCACCAGGTAAGTTTTTCAACTGAATTAATTTGATGAATAGTTTCTTTTTGTTGATGGATAGTCTTAGGACAATCTGACATGACAAGTCACTAAATGAAGAGAGTTTTTTTACAGATAAACAATTAAAATGAAAATGAGAAATAACTTCAAATTGACTGATTAGTAAATTCAATTCTTTTCTTATTAGCATTGATGGTACACCCAATGAGACCCCTTTAATGTATAATCAACCATTCCATCTGAAAACAACACCAGACAAAGGAGGAGATGTAAGTCATTAAAACATTATTACATTATTTCATAATCATACCTTCAGCACCTTCTTATTTCTACAAAGTATTTTAGAATAAGTAATAGACAATTCTGTTGAAAAGACCTGTCAGCCCTAGTCAGTTTGTATCTGAGAAAAAATATTGCTATTAACCTATTTTTTAGTGAAAAAATAATCAAGGAATCAATTAAAATTGAAAATTTAACTAGTGTCATACATGTAGAAATGTGCTCTTAGTCTGTTAATGTTGACTTTTTAATGTCCAGCAGATTTTATACACCCTATATATGGTTTCTCCACCTCATTTCCTACGCATTCTACCGTATATGCTTCGTTTGAACCTCGAGTATGTTGTAAGTGAAGTGGAGAAACTATACATAGGGTGTATAAAATTATACATATTTAGAATAAATATTATACTCACTTCACTTTCTATGCACTATATATGCAAATGAAGCATGTAGAGTGCAGCATTTAACTAATGTAAATATAGGGATTTAATAATAACATAATACACAGTGAATGACTGTCTGTAAGCACATTTTGATTTTTTTCAGTTGCTGTTATTCAGCGATAGAGCAACCTTTCAAAACAGTGCCAAACGTTCTCGACACCAGGAAGTCTGTCTTGTACCAGAGGCATCCTACCTGACTCAGTGGATGGTTTTACCATTTAACCCACAGTTACGGATGGAATATGAACTTGCACCAGTACCTGTGAGTACTTTATTTCCTGTCATGAAATATTTTAATTTCACATTTCTTTTGATTAAAGACATCCATAGATTTTTTTGATTTTTTACTGTCATTATTCAAGAAGGTAAGAGAATTGTTCTTTCCAACTTTCATATGCATACTGTCATCCAGCTGTATTGAATAATGTCTTAATTATAATATTTCTACATTCTCAAACACAGCTTAATCAGAAAATGTGTAATCATATCCATAATTTTCACCAAGTTAAATACAGTAGAGAACGTAATATCAATATTTACATAATTGCTGCACACGAGTTAGCAGTTGATTTCAGAGCTGTCAATAAAAATTGAAATAGATAAAGTGAAAATATTAAATTGAAGTGTGGTCTGCCAAGCATAGATTTTGCAGTTATGTTAACTACTCAAATACTAATGCTATTTAACATTTCAGAGCTGTGGTACCCACTAGTAGATTGTATTTTTTACTAGAGAAATTGATTTTTTATTTAAGTACTTCTTTCCTTTTAGGCAAATGAGAAAGTAGTCATCGTCCATTGTAAGACAAATAATGCGTTATGTGTGGAAAGCGACTTCTTGCTTAAGTGAGTTTAACATTCTTTTTGTTGGAGTTTATGTAATATGTGATCAGTTGTGCTTCACAATGAAAAAGATTAGTTGAAAAATGTCAATAAAAATGCTATTTAAGTTAATTTTTCTGTAAATTTTAGGATTTTTCTTTGAGAATCTTTTCCACCTTCTAGCATTCATGTTTTAGGACCTCTGCATTCCATGTTATAAAAATAGGCTCATCAAGATTTTCTCTAATTTCAGAACACCATTTGGCAGGGAGTATGAAATTACATCTTTTACAAGCCTGGACTCTCACAAGGCAGAAAAGGATATCAACCACATGCATATAGTCATGGGCGTCCCTGGGGATGACGTATATCCTGTTATTCCACAAAGCCAAGCTCCAGAGATTTCAAAGGAATTTTCACAGATGACCAACACATCACAGTGATATATGTATTTTCGATAAGGACTGAAAAGATAGCCAGAGAAAAGTTTCACTTGTGTCATGAATACTGTAAATTTAACTATTTAAATCGTGAAATTGTGTATTGTGTCACATGCATATGAAAGCAATAAGATCCATTTTGGATGACAGCGAATGAGAGCCCGACACCGGCCATTTAAACAAATGCTACACAAATTTATCACAAATAAACTGAATACATGTCTTTATTATGTCAAGACTAGGTATTGGACCATGTATAACATCAAGTTACAACCCTTCAAACAGTACAGGGCTAACATTATGATTTATATCTTTTCATGAAATTTTTACTTTGTAAGTGACTTTTATTTCTCTATTGTATATTTTATTGTACAAAGTCATTATTTTACTTTTCAAAATTAATGTGAATAAATGTAGTACTCACATTAACAGCAGTTGCACTTAATATATCTCTTACAGATGCATAAACATTATACAACAATTTTTGACTTCTTAATAAATACCTTACTTGCATGATTGATAAATCTAAGGCTCTTTTCACAACCGAGTTGAGCGGGGCCTAAATAAGCCACGGCCAAAATATGGCAAGACCCACTTGAAGGCATACCACTTAATCCCTGCAGGGACGCAGCATGTGGGAGGCCAGGAGTCTGGTAGGAGATTATGTGGAATGCTTTCAAGTGCACGTCATACTTGAGCTGTGGCTCAATTTGGTTGTGAACAGTGCCCAATTCAACTAAAAACTACACTTGTCTAGATAAATATTTCCAGCTAATTATTGCAACATTTTATATAGATCTGAAAGTAAACAAGGCCCACATGCGATATTAGAGAGCAGTAGCATGAGCCATTTTTTTATGGCAATGTTTATCACAGCTTTGAAATCTGGTCACAGATAGAGCACAATTGGTCCCCAATATTTTGACTATTACAGTTTACATTTTACAATACAACTGACAGGAAATATATATATATACATATCTGTACTAAAGTTTCAATATATTATAGATTTACTCGATTTATTTCAATTCATTATTTCGACCACTTTCAAATTGATGTCTTGGTACAAAAATCACAAAGACAAAATTACACCAATGGTACACAAAACATATTCCGTGTCAATCCAATAAAGATGCGCTTTTTGTGAATGAGGCAACCAATGGGGTAGTGCTCTGAGAAAAATTCCCATCTCCAAAATGGCACTTGAAATGTGGGATCATCAATAATATACATGTATGACTGTGCTTTGTAAAATTCAATATTACATTACTCCCACATAAAAAATTAAATGGTAATTTGTTGTATTTCAACATTTCTAGACTATATTGGGTTCTTCTGAGAAGGCAACCAGGAGATCACTTATGGCTTTCCTTACTGAAACTGAAGTTTGATCTAGATTCTATTTTTATCCATTTCATATCAAGAAAAGATTATTACTTATTATAACTTAAAGAGATGAAAAACCCTCAAATTTTAGTTATTGGCTTGTGTTTCAGTTTACCTTTTGGCTTAACATAGGCCTTCATACTGACCTGTGACATTACTCACTGACTGCGTGGAGGTATAGAAACCAGGACCCTCTTATAAATGTCAAGTAGAGCACCCCCCCTCCCTCCCCCTGGTCCCTATTCATGGTTGGCTGGTGACAGAAGCTAACCGTATGGAAAATATTTCAGCTTGTGTTAAATAATTACTATATATGATCCAACTACCAAGATAATGCACACCTCTGCTCAAGAAAAAAAATGGTCATCTTTAAAGATGTGTTCACATGTAGTGTCGAAATATTTGACAACAATGTTAAAATGTAAAAATCATGAAATATGAAAACAAGAAAAACATTATGTTATCATGCTAAAGCTTAGCTTTCAAATGACATACCGTTATCAATATACTGAAGACTGAGCTTTATCAATTTTATAATCAACACTTGTCTAAGGCGAGATTAAACTGAATATTTGACACTGTTAGAATAAACCAATGAAATTTCCTCACCCTACTAATTAAAAAAAAAAACGAAATTATAATATTTATTAAAATAAAATTTAAAATATAGTGTTTAGCTGCATTTTTATTTTAAAATACCATGAATGTCACACCTCTCCAGCTATATTAGATTTTTTCTTTTGGCAACATAACATAAACATTTTACTCAAGAACTTTTAAGTAGAAGTTGAGTATTAACACAAATGGGACTTTACTTATCCATAAAAAAATCTGATGTCTAATAAATGAATAAAGTTGTTTATAATGACAACAAAATTATTGCCCAAGGAATGACCCAAGTTCAAGAAATAGATCAATGGAAATTGGATAACTTCCTAAGCACTTGATATTTTCAAATACAGAAACACCTGTTAAAATGAATTTAGCACCAAAAATTGACTTTAGCAATAAGCTAAACCTTATGTGTCTCAACTCCATCCCTCATGGACTTTATCATTCTCAATCGTCTTCCACGCAGTTTGAATCTTGACCACGCCAGCAGCTGAAGTATTGCACATACTATAGGGATATACACAAGTATGGTGAAACAGCCCTGACGCTGGAGCTCCTTTTCATGTTCAGGCATGGTTTTCATGTTCAACTTGATTGAACCACCTTCATTACCAGACTGGAATATATCATGACCTGAAAATATTGGGAAAATCAAACAATAACAGGTGTGTATAGTCTGTCACCAATGCCACAAATGTCACTGACTGCAAGATCCTATATGGGATTATCACTCAAATGTTAATTTTACTGTAGAAAAAAGCTAGTTAGGTGTCATTGTTTGATCTGTACTTGTAGTTGAATTTGATGGTTGTGTACCATAACTTAGTTCTAAATTAATCATGATTCTTTCTGACATTGCTGAAGGAAATATTAAAATATGTTTCTTTTTTGAGGGGTTTTATCAGTATAAAAGTAAGAACTGGGAAATATAAGTAGCTGTTCAGGATATTTAAAAATAAAAATATGACTTATAAGATCTTTTTTTTATGTGTTAATTATACCTTTATCTTTTCTTTTTTTTCATTAATTCTTTGCATTTCACAATTATTACAATACATTATAAACAAATAACTGATAATAAAAGCCAGTTTCAAAGCATTTCACTAACTTAATGGTTACATCAATTTTATTTCATAATCTTTGATAAAAAAGGTCAACACATCTATCAGAAGTACCTGTATTATTGTAGTTATATATGTTCAACAGATTAGATAATCAGCATCAGTGTCAAAATGAGCTGACATAATTACCAAAACATTCACCAAATATATCACACAACGACTGCACAGATCTAAGGAATTTTCACATGAATTTAACCCTGGCAAAAAACAGCATACTAAATCTTTAAGCTACTCCCTACTGGACTTATAACCTGTCTGGCTAGTTGCACATTTTTAAAAACGTTTTAGAGGCATGTCAAAGGTACATGTACAAGCAAACCAAACTGAAACACTAAGTTAACCTTAAGTTGTTTCCAAGCACAAAAATTATTGTTTAATACAAATAAGAATTATGTTTACCTGTCTGCACTGACAACAGCCATGTTCCAATAAGTGGAGCTAGAGTCTGTCCAGGCTTAGACACCAGGGCTGCAGTTCCAAACATGAGAGCTGACACTGCTTGGTTTCTGTTGTGTAGTACAAAGTCTTCGTCAACCAGATCACTAATGACTAGGTTCAGCAGCTTACAGGTCCCTTCAGTGAATATGCGATTACTTAAAATAAAAGAAAAATTTTTAAAGAACACTTGACATTTTCACATATCTATAAGCTATACACTAAAATGTTTGTGTCAATTACAACTGTTACAGTAATAACTTATATATGCCATTTGACTCTTTAGCATTAGGAAAAGGTTAATTTGACTATATTGCAGGAAACTGACTTTGATGGAGAATGCAATCACAGAACAAAATAACTGCACTGGAAGGAAAATGTTAATGACAGAGTCAAGTCAAGTGAAACTTTTCAATCTAAAAATAGACCTAATTGACTATTTTTCCGTTCATGTTACTACAATCAGCAAACAATTGATAAAATCAAGCTCCCTTAATCCCCAATAAAAGGAATACAGTATGATCAAAATATATTTGCAAATACTTTGTATCCAAGTTCTTTTTCTTCTCTTTTTAATTTTCTGAAGGCATGATTCAGAACACTAAGCTTGTGCCTTTTGATCTTATAATGCAAGAGAGGTAATGCATTCATTTTAAACAATACTTGTAAAGGGCAGTTTCCATTTTCTCTAAAAAGTCACTGTTGCTTTTCACAAATTTTGGATTCTAAATGTATACCACTTACCTGGCTATGTATGCACAGAGTACCCATATGTGGTGTCTTCCAAGGCCCAACATGACCACACTCAAACCAAGTTTGATGGCAAACAGCAGCTGAATAACTCTGTAAACTCCATATTTTCTACACAGGCTCAAAAAGTACAGGTTATTTATATGTGGTGCAACAAATGACAGACCTAAAAATACATTTAAAATTATACTATAAAAAGTCAATAAACAGTAACATATTTAACATGAATATTGTTGGCATAATGTAATTCATTTTTAGATATAACAACTTCTGCGTAAGTAAAATACTGTTGAAATTTACTTTTAAGTTTAACCAAAGATCAATTCATTTGCCAAATCAATTAAATCTGTTGTACAATATATCCTCATTATATTTCTGATATTAACCATTTGACATTAATCAATATCATAAGATAGGAAAGATAGTGTGTGGATAATTCTTCTTACCAAGTAACATGGAAGCAGTAGGAGGAGATATGGCATCTCCAAGTAAATTTTCCAAGAAAATGGGGAAAAAATTGCTGTTGAAATGGCAGTGAAATACCTAAAATAGGAAAATTTTCAAATTAATTGTAAACATTATGTTTTTATCTATTCATGAATGCAACCGTGCACTCAGGCACAATCCACTTAATTAAGTAAGGAAACAAATAAAAATATATTTAAATATCCTCAAAAAATTCTATAACATTTTTTTACTACAAATACCTATCATACTTCCAATCGAAAAAAATCAAAATGATAAAATATACATGCATGTATACATACTGTACCTGGATCAAGTTCATAAGTGAAAACCACATAAAATTCCGATGCTTAGACAGCTGCGTCACATAGTCCTTTATAGTTGATGTGTGTTGGTTCCATTCTGCATTTTCTTCATCTTCATCACTAGAATATTACATTGAGCCATACTAATCATAATTTGGAAAAAATATTTAAATGTTTTCTTCCATAAATTATGACGATGATAAAGGCATTCAATCTATCATTCTATTTTCCAAACCTAATGCTAAATGTATATATCATGTTACTTTATTTTTTTTAATATAAAGTTTGTCAATTTAATGTAACCTAGTACCTGTCTTTTTCTGTTTCTAAAACCCCTTGTTTGGCAGCTTTGGTGTATACTTTTCTCATTACTCTTGTGCTCATCAGGAACCCACATATAGAAAATACTGTAAGTGCAGCGCAAAACAGTTGAAAAGATGTCAAAGTATCCTTGTCCCACATCATGTAAGACATAAACACTGAGAAAGAGCCTAAAGTACTGAAAACTGAGCAATAAGAGTTCAGTCTTGTTCTGGTGTCTGCAGATATTGCCAGATCAGCTAAGAGGGCTGAATGGTGTAAGTCCACCATAGTCAGAAACCCATCATAAAGGCACAAACATATGACAAACTGAAGTGAAGGAAAGTGCCAAGAAACCCAAAACACCATGAAAGATAGTCCAAACAATGGTCCATTCCATGTGAGAGCCTGCAAGCGTCTGAGAACAATGTCGGGACAATGACTTCCTTCCTTCTGTGATAAATATTTGCGATCACTTATCCATCCAAAGAGAGGATCATTGAAGGAGTTCCAGATCAGAAAAACTGTTTCTCCAATCCAGAAAGATGTCCTGTCAATTTTGTAAATTGACACAAATGTTTCTATGTGGTACAACAAGAAAACATTGTGGAGGATAGATGTAAATAGTGCCAGAGAGCCATAACAAAGGCCCAGAGGCAGCAGAGAACTTTGCAAAGAATATGGCATCACTTCTGCTTCTCCTTCATCTGACTTGTGTTCCACCCTTGTCAAACTGTCTTCTTCTGAGTCTGAAAAAAGAAGTAATTTTCAAATTTTGTTTGTATAAAATATAATATGTATGCAGTGTCTAAATTGGTTGAAATAATGTTATATTCATCAAACAAGAATCAATGGAGTAAAAAGTGTATACTATCTGATAAAAATGTAAGAATTAAATTGTGATCAACAATACCTAATAGAGAAAAATAAATTTAAATATGGTGATTTAACTCACTCTTGATTTCAGAAATTTTGGACTCCATGCATGGTCCTAGACTAGAGAGCAATACCAGTTGCTATCCCCTTTACGAGTGCCAATTATAATAATTACATAAATTGTATGTCGATCGTGACAAGAAGCTTAAGTAGCAACTATCGTATCAATTTAATATAATCAGGATCATAATGTCGGTTGATAACTATGGCCAGAAATAGAGTCGAAATACGCAATCCAGAATAGCATACAGTTTTCTAGTCGCACTTTCTTTCGTGTGCATACCTCATATCCCATTATTGTCACTCCTCATGTTAATTTTCGCTCTCATTTACCAAACGTCGTCTGTTTCAGAGGGTTCCAACTTCAAGTTCGGTTATCAGCGTCACACATGATCGGCTATTTGATAATAAATGATAATATACCTCATCTGATTCTGATAACATTAGCAGTGAAATAAACCATGTGAAGAATATGGTTTCGCACCACCATCAAGGAAAAGTCCTTTAAGTTTAAAGCTGCTCGAAATGATAATGAGTGACACGTTTCTTTTTGTAAGAAGTTCCTTGTACTACACTACTATCTCGACAGGTTGGAGCAGTAACCAAGAAAAGCCAAACGCTATGCTCATTAAAAAAAATGTTAAATTCACATTCCAATGCACTTTTTTATAATTGTAAATGATTTGATATCTAAAACAACTAATAATTCAACTGATGTAACAAGGAAGTGATGAGCTTCAGAAACTAGGACATAGATATGCCTTGTCTTGAAGCGCGCCCTCTTAAAATTGCATATATTTTGAGGAAGTGGGTCAGGCCGGGCAGACACTGAAAGATGGGCTGGGGATGGAAGTGGATATGCTGTGTGGCGGTTCTTAAACTTTTATACCATAGAAGCCATTGCGATGTTAGTGAAGGTAAGAATAAATTAGGATATGTGCACATAATTTTGCAATCAAATCCGTTTCGTAATTATTACTGTCAAAAGGCAACATTCAAAGAAAATCACGTAAATTATTCTGAATAATTTGAACGACAGATATTGCCACTGACTCAGATAGAGCATTTGTTATTGCGGTGTAGTTGACTGTTAACGGTGCCAGGGGGTGGATGCAGTTAGATGAATCAGTACTTTTTTGTCAACATGTTAAATGAGTAAGGTTATTCAGGTGTAGCTTGACATTTGCTCTTACTAGTATGACTGGTTTAAAGTCCTTTTCCCATTGCCCATCTGAAATGTCAGGATTAAACACCTTATTTGATATAATGCTTTTCGAGATAGAATTTAAATGATTGATCAAGTCATTGTTATATTTTCATTATGTGAATTGTACTTCATATCTTCATAACTTCATAGCAAAATGTTCTTCATTTGATGTATATCTTAACAGAGGTTCCAGTGCTGCCAATTTTTAAAACAATTTATTGAAAATTGGATAAGGTTTTAAATTCTGATTACAGTGATCCAAGGATCTGATTTCTGATTTGAATGTGTGTATTGGTTTTAGGGGATGATCACACTGGGAATGCAACAGGGGAAATACTGTTCCTTTTCTATTTATTTCAAGTCTTCTCAAGCAGAACCTATAGGTGTATTTAACATGTTTTTCATTAAGAATGATTGGCTAATAAAACAGAGTTCATGAATGAAAGCTGTGCTGTGGCCTGGAGATGGTAAAAATTTTAAAGTATTACATTAAGGTCCCTTTACTTTAGAAATTGATAAAACTGCATAATAATTATAATAATAATACTAATTGTGGTATACTGGCATACGCTTTCTACATCTTTCAGAAATACAAAGAAAATGCCATAAAGGTTACAGCCCCAGCAGGGGTTGAAAAATACAAGCTGCTTTAACAACTTAACAGCATTTTGATTAGCAATGTTTAATCCAAATTTGTCAACTAGTTTATTGAGCACTTCCTGGGTTTCTTTGTGGTTGTTTTGCCCCTAGGTAATATCAGTGAGCGTGTGGCTAAAGATAAGTCTCATGGACAGGAAGAGAAGTTTCTTTCCTCCAGGTCATAATAAAAGGTCTGCTCATTGAAAATTGAGAATTTGCTTGAAAATAATTTTGACTGTGTTAATTGTATCTGTATGTTGAAATTTTCAAAGTAATTTTTGGTAAATATTTGAAAATAACATTTTTACTTTTTGCCTGTCTTTCTTTTGTATGTCTTTTTGACTGTTATGATGAAGGTGCAATATTCATATTTTTAATTTTTTTATATCAATGGATTTTTATTGCTGTAAAGTGAGTCATAACAATTAGGAAGCTACTACACTTGCCACTTTGTATATTCCACTGTACTTCAAAACCCAGGACATCCTAAGGAGTTGCTTCCCTTACAACTGTTCTTGAGTCTAGTTCAGGGCCAGATAGTAAAAAAAAAGGGAGATCAGTAGAGAAATACATATTCAAAGAGATACCTGTTTATTTTGCAATGATTGAGGTTTGCATGATATGTTAACAGAGTAATATGTGTTATGCTAAAAGATGCAATCACCAGGAGTTTTTAAAAGGACCCTAGTTATAATAAGCATCTTGTGCAAAACTATTAGTCGGAAAGATAACAGATAAGAAGAAAAACTAAAAACCATGATGTCATAGAGGATGTTTAATATATTGGGATGGGATAAGGTATAGAATTCTTAAGGATGTGGGATGCATCAATCGGAATACTTAGTTAATCAATCTCTTGTTGATTCAAACTTCTGTAACATATGAGGTTGAGGATGTCCGTTGCAGTTTTGGCTATGAAAAGTAACCAAAGTCTGTGTTTATTAGTAAAAGATAGATTGCTAAAGGAAGTGATAATTTTTGTTGACTACTTATTTGAAATGTTGCCTTATCCTTTGTTCAATTCAACAAATATTTCTTTTAATAAACAAGTATCTGGGTCTTCCGGAAGATGGTCAGATTTTCAAGTTTACATTGACGGTTATCTATTTTTTTCTGTCGGAAGACGGTCAAAAATGGAGGATGGATCAACAAAGATAAATTGGAAGACTGTCAGAAAATAACTCTGGATCCGCCCCTGAGTATTATACTAGACTATATCAGAAGAGTAAAATCATTAAAATATGTACAGTTTAATGTATATATATGTTTGGGAGCTTAAATTGGTATGCTGGTTTGCATCACTTTTTAGCATGAACATCTTCTTTGGTTGTACATTATAGCATTAGCTTTCAAACACACTAAAAGAACCATTCTTGTCTGAATATTAATTTCTCAACTAAAATAGTAAGCATCTAGACATCCCTGTTTTATCTTTCCTATCGGTCAAGCATGCATTGACCCTAAACAGTTAAACTCTGGCTACAGAATGAAGTAACATGTTAGATGTTGCTGTTGGTGGTACATCGGATGATATTGATTGAATTAGATGTCAGAAATTATGTAACTGGTAGCCTGGTTTATGTTGTAGCCCATATCATATTCATTAAACATAGGTGAGCATATACTGAGTATTAGGTGAGAGAGGATGGGTATCTATGGTTTTTACCTGTGTACACAGCTAGTCTCTAGGCCCTCACAAGCCCCATAAAATGTGGAGATGAGATTTATGGTATATTTTGATATTTTAATAAAAAATACAGTCCCATTGTGCTTGCCCATAACATAAATAAACTAACACTGCATGCTGTCTACCTGTCCCTTGAGGTAATACTGACATTATGCCAGGTAATACACAAAGCACTAGAACCTTGCCTTAGGATTTAACCCAGGCAATGGGGTCATAAAACTGTTAGGCTAAAGAGCAGTTCAGGCAAATATTACATTNAAACTAAAAACCATGATGTCATAGAGGATGTTTAATATATTGGGATGGGATAAGGTATAGAATTCTTAAGGATGTGGGATGCATCAATCGGAATACTTAGTTAATCAATCTCTTGTTGATTCAAACTTCTGTAACATATGAGGTTGAGGATGTCCGTTGCAGTTTTGGCTATGAAAAGTAACCAAAGTCTGTGTTTATTAGTAAAAGATAGATTGCTAAAGGAAGTGATAATTTTTGTTGACTACTTATTTGAAATGTTGCCTTATCCTTTGTTCAATTCAACAAATATTTCTTTTAATAAACAAGTATCTGGGTCTTCCGGAAGATGGTCAGATTTTCAAGTTTACATTGACGGTTATCTATTTTTTTCTGTCGGAAGACGGTCAAAAATGGAGGATGGATCAACAAAGATAAATTGGAAGACTGTCAGAAAATAACTCTGGATCCGCCCCTGAGTATTATACTAGACTATATCAGAAGAGTAAAATCATTAAAAAATGTACAGTTTAATGTATATATATGTTTGGGAGCTTAAATTGGTATGCTGGTTTGCATCACTTTTTAGCATGAACATCTTCTTTGGTTGTACATTATAGCATTAGCTTTCAAACACACTAAAAGAACCATTCTTGTCTGAATATTAATTTCTCAACTAAAATAGTAAGCATCTAGACATCCCTGTTTTATCTTTCCTATCGGTCAAGCATGCATTGACCCTAAACAGTTAAACTCTGGCTACAGAATGAAGTAACATGTTAGATGTTGCTGTTGGTGGTACATCGATGATATTGATTGAATTAGATGTCAGAAATTATGTAACTGGTAGCCTGGTTTATGTTGTAGCCCATATCATATTCATTAAACATAGGTGAGCATATATTAGGTGAGAGAGGATGGGTATCTGTGGTTTTTACCTGTGTACACAGCTAGTCTCTAGGCGCTCACAAGCCCCATAAAATGTGGAGATGAGATTTATGGTATATTTTGATATTTTAATAAAAAATACAGTCCCATTGTGCTTGCCCATAACATAAATAAACTAACACTGCATGCTGTCTACCTGTCCCTTGAGGTAATACTGACATTATGCCAGGTAATACACAAAGCACTAGAACCTTGCCTTAGGATTTAACCCAGGCAATGGGGTCATAAAACTGTTAGGCTAAAGAGCAGTTCAGGCAAATATTACATTTGTGAACTGGCAGTTGTGTATATTTTGAGTTCTGGTGGTATTGTATCACTGTCAGGTATGCTCTTGGTCTACAAAGAAAAGATGGCTTATAAGCGAACTGAATCATGGTGGTGATTTTTACACACGCTACTGATTAGGGATTGGCAGGGCAAAAATAACCGTTGAAGTGCACTAGACAGTAGTTTCCTCTCACACATTTGGCACCTTTATGTAATGGCTACTCTTCCATATAGATCTAAAGATAAAATGTAAACAACAAACGTGATGGTACTGTACATCCCTGGCTGCTTTTCTAATAGGATGCAGTATTTATGATATATTTACCCCGTCAACATGCTTATTGATTTGCTGGAGTATCAGTGGATCAGTAAAGCAGGATGAAATTGACAGACATAGAGGTTCCATGCCTGGGAAGTTTTAATTTTCTCGATATTGCTTGTAGTATTCTCTTTATGAATAAAGCATAAAAGATGGCCAGTTTGTTTTAATTCTTGTTTTGAATCTCAACTTAGAGCAGCAGGTTAAACTTTCCATTTTGGTAATGGTTGCAAGGTCAGCTATAATGCAAAGTGATGGTACTTTGGGAACAAATTATTGTTCAAGTATGAAATTACAAATAAAGACAATTCTCCAATATCCTCATCCTATTTAAAGCAATAATGTGGCAGAATTCCACAATGACAACATTTGCGTTGGGTATCATCTAAGGTTAAATAGGCAAGTGCTTATTGACATTTTGTCTGGTGGCAAGAAGTCTCTTGCTACCACTCTGTACATCTGTGCACACTGAGTGTGGTATAGTACACCAGAGTTGGTCCAGGGCCAAGCTTCATGCATGCTGTCATTGTGTGTGACACGGGTTAAGATGTCATCCTTGTTTACAGGTGTAAAAGGTGGAAGTTGTGTGTTATCTTCTTATCTTGATGTAGATGGC